TGTTTTACTGTGGTTTTTTTTATCCTCACCCGAGGACATTTTTCCATGTTTTGTTCAGATAGAGTGGGAGGGAGAGAGAGGGAGAGAGATAGAGAGAGAAACATCGACGTGAAGGGGACTCATCGAGTGGCTGCCACCCACGCGACCAACCAGGGCCGGGGACAAACTGCAACCGAGGTACATGCCCTTAGCAGGAACCGAACCCGGGTCTCTCAGGACCGCAGGCCAACGCTCTAACCGCTGAGCCAAATCAGCCAGGGCTGTTTTACTGTTTTGAGAGTCATGTTGTAGGTAGGAAGTATGTACTTAACTCTTGTTCCTTATCTTAACTGTGGACATCTTCACCTAGCAACCGCATTTGTGAAGACCTGCTGGGGTTCTAGAGCTGAAAGGGACTCTGGAGAGGACCTACTCTACACGCCCCAACCTTAGATGAGGAAAAAACACCTCAAAAGGAAAACAAAACTGAGAGGTTACACAACTTTCCCAGGGCAACCTGGCCCAGTCAATAGCCCAGGTGTCCAGTATCTAAGCTTTCAACTCTACCTTTTGTCCTTGATCATCCAGTAATAGCGCAGCATTATAACTTTAACATAAAGTAGAAAAGGAACTTACTGAAATACACTTCCGATGTTATCTAATTTACGTGACAACCCTAGGTGTTTTTAGCCTCATTTTACAAATTAGGAAACAGAGTTGCAGATTAGATAATTTTCTCAAGGTCACAAAGATAATAAATGGCAAACCCAAGATCACAACCCTGCACCTGGTCTACCTGATTGCAGAGATTCGGTCCTGGAAATAACCCCGTCTCCTTGCCATCCTGCGGCATAGGACAGGCGTGGGCTTAGAAAACCGAACACACTGCACTTCCTTGTCACTGTCCTCTCCAGTTACCGGCTTTTACTGGTGAAGATACACATCCCTCTTGTTTTTCTGGCCCTGTGCAACATTCGCCTGTTTCCAGGTGCTGCAGCTGTCTGAGGGTAATAAAATAGTTACCTTTGAACAATTCTATAATTTGGATTTTTCCTTACTTTATATTTAACATCCCACCCACTGAGATTAGCTTGACTGGATGAGTCTTACTGTATTGTAACTGTTAGATGCCTCTGGATTGACAGGAAAGAGCAGGAAAGCAAAAATCATGTTCACACTGCTCGTCTGCTTTACCCAGCTGTCCTGCTCAGGGCATCAAGGAAGATTATGAGCATAATTCCTGCCTGAATTATAACTAGTCAAAAAATTTTTTTTCTTCAATCCTCACCTGAGGACATTTTTGTATTTATCTTCAGATAGAGCGGGGGGGGGGGGGGGGGGGGGGCGGAGAGAGAGAGAGAAACATCGACATGAGAGAGACACATTAAATGGTTGCCACCCACACAACCCCAACCAGGGCGGGGACAAACTGCAACCCAGGTACGTGCCCTTAGCAGGAACTAAACCTGGGACTCTCCAATCCACTGGCTGACGCTCTAACCGCTGAGCCAAACCGGCCAGGATATAACTAGTCAAAATTAATGAAATTCTGGTTCTCTGTTAGACTGAAGAAAGTATTACTAGATAGTATATACTTCTTAGAAATAATTAACAGGACACAGATACTTCTAATGCTATTATTAAAATAGAAACAATTAGGTGGCTTCTCCAAGTCCTGATCATCTTTTCCTTTCTTTTGCTTCAACAAACACCTTGCTTAGGGTGGTGACAAAAATGTTAATTTTAACTAATTTTTATAACTAAGTATGAATGGTATCTTTTGCCTTCTCACAAGTCCCTAGGAAATAAAGCCATATACTATACATATCTCTGGCTCTAGAAGTCACCAGACAGGAGTTACTCAATTATTTGGAATACACACACATGTTGATTTGAGGAATTTATGGAAGTAAAAAGAAATTTCTGGGAGTAGCTTGATGTTATTTCATTTTCTGGTTAAGCAAAGATCTTATGCAGAAAATGTCTTTGTTTCTACTCTCGGTCTAAAACCTGTCTTAGATGAGCCAATTTTCCAGTCTACCTGGGGCCAATCAAGTGTACATACCTGAATCTTTCTTCTACAGCTGGGTGTTCTACTGTCTCTGATAACTTTATCTCTTTTGTAAGTACAAGATACAGATGATATGAAGACTGGGCATTTTAAAAATGTTTAAAAAATCAGATAAACCAACCAAACAACAACAACAAAATCTCTAGTATTTGGCTTATGTACATGTGTAACTGTTGACAATGGGGGGATGCTGGTTGAGCATTTTAGTTACTTGATACTCTGCTGTTTTCTGGATATTAAAAATGCACTCATTTGTTCATTTATTCCACAAGTATTTACTGATAACCTGCCATAGGGCAGGACGTGTTCCAGGTGTTTGAGATACACCTGGGAACAAAACAGACAACCAAAATCCCTAGCCTCCTGGAGCTTACATTCTAGCAGAGGAAGAGGTAAAACGAGCATTAACTACAATAAAGATAGCCTAGAGGCGATCAGAAGACAACTGCTGTGGGGGAAATGGAGCAGGCTGAGGAGGAATCAAAGTTTACAGGAAGATAAGTTACCATGTTAAGTAGGGTGGTCGGGGTGGGCCTCATTGGAAAGATGACAATGAGCAAAGAAAAGATGGAGATGAGATGGTAAGTAGGTCACGAGGCTACTGGGAAAGGGTGTCTGGGCAGCGGGGACAGCAAACGCAAAGGGCAAGGGTAGATGGACACCTGGCCAGAGAGGCCAAAATGGAGGGAGGAAGGGAAGAGTGGAAGAGACTGGTGCGTGCGTGTGTGTGCGTGTGCGTGTGCGTGTAATAATGTAAGCACTAAAGGATACTGTAATTAATATCCTCCCTTGACCTCGATTCCCTGGCAAGAGCCAATAGTGCCACTCACCTGAAACGCTACGGCAGCCTCTCCACAGATCAATATAAAGATGCAATTACTAGAGTGCAAAGACGATTTTAAAAAGCAAAGGAAACATTTCACTTTTGACTGCTGCAATTACTTCCAAGTGCTTTGACCATTTCGGTCTATGAGACAAGACAATGTGGTTTTGCCTCTGCCTCGTGGGCTCCATCACAGTCAAGTTAGTAGTCACAGGCAGCCAGAAACAGTCCTGAAAATAACTCCTCGTCCAGGGCAGTGTGCCTAGTTTTGGGGCATCCCGATCAGTGACACAAGTTTCTACTGTTCAAGCCTTCACGTAAACTACATTAAGTTAAACTTCTTTTTCTTATTACAGAGCTAGGTTTAAACAGGAATGAAGCGTGCCTGTCTGGGAAGTGAATAATGACCATGTACGCACACAAAATACTCAGATTCATTTGGAGGGTCTAATTGTAAAGCAGATTCTCCAGAAAGGCATGCTTCCTTGTTAAATGACTTTCTTCTAAGAAAATACACGGCATTGGTAATTTCAGCTAAAGAATGTCAAGAACTGAATAATCAAGCATTAGTTTACAAAGTTTAAAAGTTAATACAGCAGCGCAGAGTATTTGTATTAGTGCTTTAAGTAGATAAATTAAATTGAAATGTGTCTCTCAAGCAGCCATTGAACAAGCAAGATGAGAAATAAATTGAGCTTCACTAGGCCTTTATGGCATCTAACAACCGCGTCTGTCAACACACGGATACTTTTCACTGTCAATTCAACACACTTTGCAGACCTTGGGCCTGCAATTATTTCATTTCCTTTCTTGGGAATGTAATTTCCACTTACTTTTGGAGAATAAAAGGCAGACAAAAGGAAGAAGGAGTTGCAGTATTTTCTGATTAAGATTATCTGTGTAAAATGGTAAAGAGGAGAAAAAAAATCTATACACACACACTGCAGCATTTCTCAGAAACGAACTTATCTCGGCCAAATTGCTTTTGTGTCTGGATATTGGTTCAGATGGAGCCAGATCGCTGATGTCAAATTAGGTGTTAAACAAATTTAACAGGAAAGATGAAGAATGAATATAGATCATCTTTCTGTTAGAGCTGCTCAAATGACTGTAGTCAAAAGAAAAGAAACACATGCCGGCAGGAGAAATGTGCTTTTAAACACAATGAAATTAGATAAAACTGTAAATCAGCAAAGAAGGCCATTCATTCCAAAGGAGAGAGAGCGAGCGAGCGAGAAAAGTTAATAGTACCAATGAGAAATGCAAGAATGGAAGAAAATGCCAGCTGGCAAAAAGAGATCTAAATTGAATTTCAACCTCATTTGTCCAGGCTTCACCTTTTCAACAGAGACAGGTAGAGGTACATAAAAGGGCTCTTTCTCTCCTGATAGAACAGGAAATCAGAGGTTTAATTAACCACGATTACAATTACAATCGGCCAATCTGATTTGCCTCACCTCTTCCTTTTCTTCAAGTGACAAACCCCCTGACATCCTGGCAAGACAAGGAAAGCCAAACTAGACTAATTTCAAAAAGAGCCTGCCATTGTTACAAAACAAACCGGTCCTCCACCAGCCTGTCGGAAGCACGCTCCACGGCAGGATTAACTTTGTGACAAAGTGTCACTTTCAAGCATGTCTACATAGACAACTCTTTACATGGCTTTTACTCTCGGGGTAGAGAAATATTAAGACACATCTTTAAGCGAGAACCAGAAAATAAGGCTGCAAAATACGTCTGAAGATCTGGTTCTTCTGAAAGATCTAGTATGTTCTTCAGCTCCTTGTGAACCGTTAAGAGGGATGATAGAAGCATTTAATCTGGAAAGAATGATTCAGCGTCTTCTGATGCTGCATAATTATCACCCAGGTTAACTCTCTGTGCAGAAAAACCTGATTACCAACCAGGGGCAGGAATTCTCTGTACACATATCTGCTTTGGATGGGAATAAGACCTCTAAGCTAGGAGCCTGGAATCAGAAGCTGGCTCATCAAACGGAGGAAGAAGAGTATTTATTGCCTAACCAAATCAAAATCTCTCTAAAGAGAAAGCAAGCAGAGTGGCACACGAGTTAGTTATCACACAGACTCGTCTACACACTACTTAGTAAAGAGCATCATTACTTACTGAAATGTAACCTTGGAACTTGTGCATCCTTCCAATATACCTGGCCCTGCACCTGGCTCAGGTGTTGGGTGGGACGGGCTGTTGAATTCTGCCTCCAGAGTTTTCTTGTTCAAGGCTGTTTTTGTTACACTGGATACAGAACCCAACACAGGCATGGATTTGGACTCTGAGGTGGCTAATATCCCGGTTGGACCTTAAAACCAAACACATACCTCAAGTTTAATGATTCTGTGCAGTGATGATTAACAGGGCACTGAAAAACAGATTAGCTGGAAACCCCTCAGAAAGTGAAAAGGCTGAGTTTTGTTCAAATTTCCAGAGCATGCTGGAAAAAATGTCCCTGTGAGAAGTTTGCTTCGCGTTAGTGGCACTACTCAATGCCCCAGGACCACGCTGAGAAACTTGTATGGCCCTTTAAGAAACCACAAAACCCCAGGCCGTGGTCCCCACAGACCAGAGTCCTGGACCGGTGAAGGGTCCTTTCCTCTCAGAGAGCGTGGCTTTCTGACTGCCCTACTTGAGCCACACGGCCTCTCAGGAGTTAATGCCTCCCCGAGCTCAGCTCTGCCCTTAAACACAAAATGGAACAGTGTCAAAAGGCTATTTTTTAAAAAATCCTCACCTGTGGGTATTTTTTTCCATTGATTTTTAGATAGAGTGGGAGCGAGGAAGGGATTGAGAGAGAGAGAGAGAGAGAGAGAGAGAGAGAGAGAGAGAAAATCAATGTGAGAGACACCTGGATGGGTTGCCTCCCACGCGGGAGATCAAACTTGCAACCCAGGTACGTGCCCGTGACCAGGAATCTAACCCATGACTCCCTGGTCCTCGGGCTGACGCTCTAACCACTGAGCCAAGCTGGCCAAGGCAAAAATGCTCTTTTTAAAAGGCTCATGGACGGCTTCATGAGTATGTCACAGCTTTTATGAACATTTTCATTTTAATGTGATTGAGAAGTAAGTGGATTTCTTTCCTATTAATAATACAGACACAGGATAACAAAAATCAAGTAGCAAAGAGTTTGGCTATTTACCTTCAAGACTTGTCTGCTCTTTGGAACAGGATTTAAAACAAACAAACAAACAAAAACTCTAACAGGTCTTATTACTGAAATTATTAGCATGCCAATCTAAAAATTCTGGGCCCTGAAGCTAAAGCTCCATCATGACTTATTTTCTATCTTTACTTAGAAAGATACTGTCCTCGGCAGTTTCTTTTCAAAGCAAGATGCAAGTATATTTTTCTTGAAACCTCAAAAGGAATCCTTTTAAAACAAAGAGATTGATCACATCATCACAAATGCACAAATAAAACCAGAACTTCTAAAACAATGAAGCCAGAGGACAGCCCTGAAAAGTGCCCAGCAGAAGAGGACAAAACGTGGGAGTCTCTTCATCCTAAGAAAGGCCAGACCGGCTCTGAGAAAGGGAAATGGTGCACGGTGCGTGCAATCCAGACGCTGGCTCATCCCGCAGCATCCGCACGGAGCTCGGAACTCGGTTTTACTCATTCGGGTGCACGTGTCCGATTACTACAGCAGTCTAACATATCAACTCCAAAAATGAAGCTCTAATAAAAAAATATATAACAAACTTTCTAGGAGGATCTGGAAAACGGCTCAGCCATTTGTGGCACCTCTTCAGCCTCACGGCACGTGGGGGACCCAGACCCGCTCCCGATCCAGCTAGTGGAGAGACAAGGCTCAGTGTCTGTCTTCCTCGTTTATTCCACCCACACCCTCTGGGCAGACAACACTAGGTGACACTGAATATTCCGGTGCAGAAGGCCTTCCCCTCCCACCTATGCTAAGCCTGGTGTTGCAAGGGGCTGTGGGAGTTGAGAGGGAAGGGCAGAAAGATCAAGAAAGTTCCTGAAAGTATAAATATGAAGTGGAATTCAAGAACTGCTTCAGAGCAGCTCTGTTCGGCCCTTGGATAATGGTTGACTACATGACTACAACCCCGACAGCTTGAAACAAGATGCCCTTCCAGGGAAGCAAGACCTGTTCCTGAGCAAACTAGGCCCTCTGCTTGTTCTGCGACTGGGGCCAGTTAAAAAGGAGGGAGAAGGGGTGGGTGGAGCCAGAGCTCTTATTTTCCCTACGTACAAAAAGAAATAAAGGAAAATGCCTAATGTGTAAGATTATTCTTATTATTGTATCCTGCTTAAGCTGCCCAAAGTTCTCCGAGAGGCACTTGTTGGTCTTTGAAGCGTCAGTCTGGTGGCTAGGTAAGACATGGGAGTATCAGTTAGGTTCATAAGAAAAATTCCAAAGACGATGCTTCCCTGGCCTCTGGGGACAGACCAACTCACCGGGCTCTGAGTTCCATAAACCTCAGCTTCGGTTTCTCTTACGATGTCCCTTTCTGCACTTTGTGACCTCACATTTAGCTTTCCCTTCAGCCTTTGTACAGAAGAAAAAAAATCCCAGAGATTCAAGTGTACCCGAGGCACAAACTTATCAAACTCATCTCTGTCATTTGTTCCCGCCATGTAGCTTGGCTGCTTACGCTTCCTTAACCCATCCCCCTCTGCCCTGGGATTTTCACTCTGTCATTCCATGACCGTTATTAAAAGATTTACATGGCAGATACCTTTTCCAGTTTGATGCTAGAAAAACATCTGTACCATCTTTTTAAAAAAGATATTTCTTTCACTAGATTATAGAGTTTGTAGGTTTGTCCCCCCCCCTCCCCCCCAATCCCTTGGCTACTAGGGAGCTCAAAAGAAAATTTCTGCTCAATTACAAGTCACTCCCTTCAGTATGTATATCCTCTTTATACTGTCAATTACACAGTTCTTATCTAGCTAAATATTGATTCTATTGAATATATATTTTATTCTAACTTCCCTCAAATTAAACATTGAATATTTGCATATTGGTGGAAATAATCAATAAAATGAAAGATTCTTGACATGCCTATAGAACATGTTCCTACCTTCCTCTGTATTTTGAAATATTCAGATTTCCATATTGACTAAAATAAAAATGTTTCCAGGTTTCTCTCACTAAAAACTAACTCTGAAATAGTGAGTGCTTCATGTTTGGCCAAGTTCATGAGTGAGGTAAGAATGTTTCAGGCCCTGGCCAGTGTGGCTCAGTTGGCTGAGGATCATCCCATGGACAGAGAGGCCATGGGCTAGATTCCTGGTCAGGGCACATGCCTGGGCTGCGGGTTCCATCCCCACTAGGGGGCGTGCAGGAGGCAGCCAATGGATGTTTCTCACTCATTGATGTTTCTCTCTCTCTCCCTCTCCCTTCCTTTCTCTCTAAAAACAAATCAATTAAAAAAAAAAAAAAAAAAGGAATGTTTCTGAAGGACCAAAAAATACAAAATGTAAATGGCAGAACACTAAAATGGCATCCACCAAGTCCTAACAATCTATGGTGGCTACATGAGCACTTTAAGGATGAAACACTGGAAAAGTCACAGCACTCATCAAGTAATAAATGAATAATGATCCATAATCCAAAGAGCAAACAAACATTCTTATGGCAGCCCTTAATTTTCCTGGAAGGTGGTTGTTTGAGGGTGGGGTGGGGGGTTCTCATTAGATAGTAACAGGAAAATTTCCAGAACAAACTAAAGACTAATTTTTTTTTTTTAAAAAAAGAGGGAAACAAAGCTTTCATCTTTTATAATAAAGGTTTTGGCTGGTATTTTTCCACTTTCAGTTTTAGAAACCAATATACTCAACTGTTTGAGTAAGTCCCTATGAGAAAACGAGAGCCTGATTATCAAAAATCCAAACCCTTAATATTCTAGCAACTAAAAATTGATGTAACCTTGATGGTAATGCAAATTAAACTGTTACAATGGGCTCAACTAATTGGAGTTCACTGAACTGGGTCTAAATGATTCAGCCTATTAGCTATTGTTGCTGATTAATTTTACTTTAGGTTTTCAAAGCCAGCCTCTTAGCCACAGGAAAGAAAGAAAAAGAAAAAAAACCTCATAAAGGTTTCTGCTAATTCCCATGATCAAGTCGATGGAAAAAAATGAAGACACACACAGTCAGTTTGGGAACAGGCTTTGATGCCCAATACGTGCGCATCACAACACACAGACAAATTGTGAGCTGAGACTTGCTCAGATGGTCACAGTGGGTGACAGAGCTAGAATTTCTCATTCACTTGGCTCACATGCAGAGATACTACACTGAATGGGTGTGAAAAACTAAGACAATTCCTCTGCATTTGTAACTGACGTGTAATTACTACTATTATTACTGATTACCGTGTGCTGACTTTCTGCCAGGCACAGTGCTAAACACTTTTCATATATGCACTGACTTCATCCTCTGAATACTCCTATGAGGTAGTGCTTTTATTATCTTTACGTTGCAGTTGAAGAAACCGAGGCTCAGAGAGACTGGGTGATTTGTGGAAGAGCAAGCAGCTAGTAAATGTCAGAGCTAGGATTCGAACTCACACTGTCTGGTTCCAGAGCCTGTACTCAATGTTACATTGTAACCAAAGCCCATCCTGAATGTCTTCACACAAGGGCATCCTGCATTAAGCAAACCCAATCTCTAAAAGCCTGATTACCTACAAAAACATAGCAGACACGCCGATAAATAAAAATAATGTCAGTGGTCTTACCAGATATCCATAAGACCCTTTCACCATCCAATACTTCTCACTCACATTAAAAACATTTAATAACAGTTTTTACTTGCTTTTTATCCTCAGCCAAGTATATTTTTGCATTTATCTTCAGATAGAGTGGGAGGGAGAGAGGGGGGAAGAGAGAGAGAGAGACATCGACACATCAAGTGGCTGCCACCCACACGACCTTGGTTGGGGTCGGGGACAAACTGCAACCGAGGTACGTGCCCTTGGCGGGAACTGAACCCGGGTCTCTCTGGTCCGCGGGCCGACGCTCTAACCGCTGAGCCAAACCGGCCAGGGCATTTAATGACAGTTTTTAAGAAAGAGTTTTGTGTTCCCAAGCGCCTCAGAGGGAGACGGGAGAGGAAGGGCAGAGGAAGGGCAGAGCGGTGGAGAAGTGACGCCGGCTTACTACTGCTATTCGCTTCTGCCGTCACCTTTCTGCGACGCAAGATCCTTTCTAACTCAGTCTCACTGCCTTCGGGGTCAAGGGATTTTAAGCTTCTTGAGCTAGTGGATTTGTTAAGTGTCCCCTAAAGTGAAAACAAAAAAAAAACAAAAAGGTTAATGGCTTCATACAATATACAAAAGAATATGCAAATCAAACTACCAAAAACATTACCAGGATTTGAATGGAATTAGAAAATAAAATGAACGTGACATCTGTGTATTTTCTCATGTGCATATCTTCAACAACACACAGTGTTGGATCACTGAAGAAGGTGCTACTGATGGTTAAGACGTTAGCTGTCATATCAAAAGACCAGTACAAGAATGCCCCTTGATGCGCTCACTACAGGAAAGTCAGTGGCGGGAAGGTACCTGTACTGGATGATTAAGACTGATGCGTGCTGATCGGTCACGTGGAGAAGAGGATGGATATATTGAACTCACCTGAGAAGGATATCTCGATATGGCAGCCACAAGTTACAGAACCAAAAATCCTGTGGCCCTGAAACACGAGTGGCTGATTCTTCAGAGAATGACCTTGACTGCACAGCGGGTGACAATGGTGTCGTGGCTGCCAAAGGAGGCACATAATGCTCTCCAGTGGCCTAACCCAAAGACAGGCTGCACACATGGCTTCATTGTGAAAGAGGAAAGGTTACACTCCTGCAGGGAGGTAAGGAAGGGCCTGGCATCCTAACTCCAGTATCCTAACAGAGGAGGCAGGGAATGGGCTGCTCAGGGCTCAGAGGTACTGGAGGAAACGAGAGTGTCCGCAAGCTGTGCTCCTGCTGACCTTCAAGACAGCAGGGAGCCACCCAGGCAGTGCTTCCCGCCCTGGCTGCTCTGGGAGGGACCTTATGGAAGGAGAGCGTGGCTTTGTCTGCACTGCCAGTCAAGTGCTGGAACAGAACCCTAGCTGATGTGCTTCTTAACTATAAAGACTCAGCGCCTCACCATTACAAGGGGTCCGTTTTCTTTCATAAGGAATGCCCACTATTTCTCTGAAACGGCCCTCCTCACCTGCGACACAGACTTGGGGAGAACAAAAGCCAGGAGACCCACAGTATGTTGATCAGAGCAAATCAGAATCTCAAGTCTGGTATAACTTGCCTGACTTCGTGCCCGAGTCAGAAGGCAGCTTTTGTCCACCAAGGCTAACAACCAGGCCAGCCTTTGTCATTTCTGAGCTCACTGTGGGCTTGCTCTTTGTCCCTGCTAATAACTTCCTGAGGGCTCTAAGAAAGCTACCGGCTAAAAATGACAACTCATGTTTCTTCTTTAGCCTATAAAACAAAAAGGTTTGTAACATCAGGTAATTACAAATCTCATAGAACACCGGCTATTATGTTGTTTTGTTTAGAAAGGTTTTTTTTCTTCCTAACAGCATGAAGTTATAGGAAAGCAGCCTGTTGTCAGGGAGGAACTTGGGAAGAATATGCTTTTTCGACCATTATGCCTAACCGAAATTGATGTGTAATGCACTTAGACCAGGCTCACATCCCATACCCCTCCCCCACCCCAAGTGCTTTTTATCTGTTTTTCCTTTATTGCAAATATTCGTAAAATATATTCGAAGGAAAACCACATTACATGTAACACTATCACAGCTCATTTTATAATTTAAAAATTATTTGGTTTATTTAAGTTAACAAGCAGATCTATAGCTACTCATCATACAGTAGGATAGACACTGATAAGGTAAAGAAAACAGAACTAAACCCAATTTAGATAAATTTTTTAAAATGTGCTAGAAAAAATGATTTCCAAATAATTTGTTTATAAGTTTTGAAAAGTACTAACTATAGCCAATGTGAACAGATATTTTTAAAGGTATGATCATTATCATTAAAAACAACTCATAAAAATGCATGTTTGAATGTCAAGGACATTCTGTGTGATTTTCCCAATGGCTGGCGTTAATGGCTTTTTATTGAAGAATTTACCTTTCACAATATTCTCTAATTTTCATTATTTCCCCAAATTCCTGACCGTGGTGAATGACCCTCTCTTCACACCTGGTACTGAAGAAATCCATTTAAGTTCAAATCCTTGAATCCTACACTTTTTCTCCACTCATGGACCGATAATGGTTAATTTAGCTAATATATAAGTAAACTTTAAATATGGAGGCAATTTTAGGAGAAAGAAAGGTTTCTACATGACTCTCAACTGAAATGATAAAGGAGCTCAGTTAATAAAGTACCAAGAGTATCTTAATTACCCATTTACATTATAATCACAGATTTTGAGAGCCAGAAATTAACTCGGGAACCATGCGGTGTATACAGCCCTTAACTTTGCAGAGAAGACAGCCAGGATAAGGCAGTGGTAGGATGGGACCTTGAATTTAGCTCTTCTGACACTCAAATCAGTACTCAATCCCTACTTGGAACCACTTTGGTCATTTAATAATCTTAGTCCCCACATTAGTTAAATGTTCATAATACTGAGTAATCTAATCGTCAGGTGGAAAAATGAACTATTCAGCAATTTCTGGGTACTCTGAAAAACTTAAGATATTCGAGAAAGACCCGGTCATTTTCTCAAATACTATTTTTGTTTCTTCAATTAATTTGTCTTGATTTAAACTTCAGAAATCGCTATTTCCACTTCGATTTTTAAATGGCTGGGGAGACTCAAGAGGTTTCTAATACCTCAAAACCCGTGTGTGACTACAAGAAATGAACTAGATATTTTTAAAATCTACAATCTACGCAATTTTTAAAAATGAAGTGTAAATAGGCTTAGAAAAATGATATCAGAAAACGCAGAGACTTCAAAACTCGGCTTGAAAACTATACAACTCAAACTAGAGGTCTTGTACGCCAGAGCTGTGTTTCCGTCCAGGTGCTGACTTTCTCTAAGTTGGGGATGTCCTTTTCCACTCAGGTCCGTCTCGCTCATTTCCGCAAACACGGCCCAGCCTGGTGTACTCCCAGTCTCTGTTCCACAGCAGTGCTCACAGGCTGTTCTTGGTTTCCTGGCATCTCTTGGTCCAGATGCTCACTTTCCATCTCAGGATATAATATGTAGGCTTTTCATATTCTTTTCCTATTTCTTAATCACATGTCACAACTGTGAAGTTGGCGTCATGTGCTTGGCTGGGTACTAACTTTGATAATCCTGATAGTTGACCTCCAGCAAAAAGCACTAATATAGCCCATGCGATAGGGGCTTCCTTTTTCTCTCTCTTACAAGAAGTTGTACGGTTTCTTAGCACCGGGTGCCTGGGCATGGCAAGTAATCCATCACCCCTCAACGGGACTTCTATGGGGGTAGCAGAGAGCTGCCAGTGGGCAAAGAAGGAGAGGACACTGTCGGTTCCAATGAAAAATGAGGCAAAAACAACTTAATGCAAAAAAATAATATTGTCAGAATTACAGCTACAGTGATAGATCAATGCCACATAATGTAGAGAAGTCTAATGATAAATCCAGGACAAGGAGGAAAGGGACAATTTGTAGGGAAATGAGAAAAAAAAAAAAAAGATGTTTTGACAATTTTTATAATTTGTAAATTATTTCACAAAAATCCATTTCAAAAATTTCTCTTCTTGGAGTGGCACAGAATTACAGTGAACGGGACTGTACAGTGAATATGATATTTTGAGCAGCGCTGCAATCGGTCAACTTGCTACCATCCAGACCAGGGAGCAGCCTGTCCCGGGCAGTTACATTTCATATCGCTCTCACATACATGTCTGATTTTGCCAGTAGACCTGATCTTTAAAAAGTCACACTCAGTATAGTTTACTCTTTCACTGATGATCAGAACTCTACTCTAGAATCTCACCGTGCCCCTGGGACATTTTCTTGAACAGGAATTAGCATTATAATGTAAAGCCAGAGACTGTCAAAGAGAGTTCTCCTGAACAGAACACTGCATAACAAACCTTTCTCATCAAAGGATCTGCTAGCTAATAGCCACAGACTTTTCTAATGGTTTTAATACCTGACTCTGTAGGCAGACCAGCACCGTTAGCCACGGCTATACCTCTCTCTAGCACTAATTCCGCTCACCTACAACTGAAGTTAACTAATTAAGCCATTCTGGGTTCAGTCTGCCATTTCATGCTTGAGGAAAATAATTTTGTTTACCACAATTATGGGGATGTCTCCAGGCAATGCATAATTAGCACGGTAACAACAAACATGGGAATATTAGTTCGCACTTCCGCCCCCAAGCTTGTTGACTTCCTGGGCATAATGACTGGTATAGAGACTGTAACGGGGTCTGAGAGCAGAGCTCTGGGCATCTGAAACATTTCCTAAGGGGGGCGTTCCTCTCTGGGAGCAACTGCTGGAGAGGGCAGCGATCCTCTATTCTGTTGGCAAAAGCTCGCACTTGGGAAAGGGGAATGCAGCCGGAGGTGGGCATTAAGTGTGTTCTCCGATGGGTATGAATTACTTTTAGAAAATGAAATTAGTAACATAAAGAAAGGGACTTTTATTTTATTCTCCAATTTACCATCAGATGCTTTTTTTAACTGTGAGAAAAAGCAGACTATGACCCCGATACTAACATGTTTGGGTAGGAGCTCAGATTTACAGTCAGGCGCCAAGAATCCCACCTTCATGTCTCAAAGTTAAGCACTATCCGTGTGAAAGACTCTACTCTACTTCTGTTAGTAACAAGCAAGGACCGCTCCTCACACCTGGCTAGACGTTTTTATCTTCAAGCTGTAATGCAAGGATTGGACGGTAAGAACGAGGAACAGTGATTTTGGTGAAAATGTAACCATTCTTTTGGAATAGAAACAGCAGAGCATTGATACATTAATAACACATTCGACGGAGGAGTCTATAACACAATCAAGTAAACTATCAAAAGAAATGAGGCTATTGTCAGTGGAAATAAAACCTATCAAACCAATTATTCATAAAAATCAATTTCAAAAACATTCTCCTTTCATTCTCACATTGACTGAGTAACAAGCTGAGACCTGTTCTTACCAGTATTCCTTTTAATTCACTCACTGCGCTCTCAGAGCCTTTGGAAGATTCTGGCTACAATTAAAAAAAAAAAAAAATTACTGAGTAATTCATTTTTAAAATACTAAACAAACATTTTACATGACAAGGTGGCCTGTAGTCACCACTTTAAAAAATTAAATCTCTGTTTCACTGTCAGGAAAAAATATTGGACAGGTTATTGTTCCCAAATGGCAGCTAAGTAGAAAATTAGAAGTAATATTCAAAGCAGAAGGAGTCAAGCTACCACAGTCTAAACATTATTTTGTTACTTGTTTGTCATTATACACACACACAAATCGGTCAACACCAGACTTCAAAGACCTAATTTCAAATTATTCTGATTTTTTTTTTTACAATAAACTTCTCCACGTGCATGGCTGGACTTCTGCCGGCAAGGGAGGACCAGGAAGGCGGCGAGCAGAAAGCAAGCAGAAACCCTCGCTCAGCTCCGCCAGCTCCGGGCGAGGGCTGGGGACAGAGGACCGGCACGTATAGTTTCACGAATCCCACAACAGGACTGAGTCGGGAGCAGGGATCAGCAAAGAGCCTGGCTTACAGGAGAGCATCAGCATCCCTGGCTATCAAAACAGAAGAAGACCTCAGGGGGTGTGTCGTCCAATCGTTTCGTCCTACTTAGGAGGAAAGATACACCTTGAGGAAGGTTGTATTGGAGCCAGTGTCTTGATTACAAAGCCAGTTCTCTTTTGGCTACACCATGAATAAAACAATTAAAAAAAAAATTTTTTTTCTTTACTGATTTAGAGGGAGAGGAAGGGAAAGGAAGAGAGAGATAGAAACATCGATGAGAGAAAACATCGATGAGAGAGAACATGGATTGGCTGCCTCCTGCATGCCCCCCACTGGGGATCGGGCCCACAACATGGGCATGTGCCCCGACCGGGAATCGAACTGGTGACCTCTTGGTGCATGGGGGGACGCTCAACCACTGAGCCACACCGGCTGGGCTGAATAAAACAATTTGAACTGAAGGTCTGGGAAATATTTACTGGCCCCATAATACCTAATGGTCTCTGTGGATCCCTCAACTAATTTAATGGAGGGGAAATTTAGCATGAGGACCGCATGAAAAAGATTTAACAAGACGTCTGATGGCCCCTGTACTACTTCCTTTTGCAAAGGGTGGAGCAGAAGGGGAGACCTGCAAGACAGTGAAAGCACCCCTCGGCCTCTCATTCATTCCTGGAAGGAGCTGAGGCTCATTTCTCCCTCATCGGAAAATGGGGGGTGATTCATAGCAACCTGTCACCCTTTCCTCTCAAAAGACAGGAAGAATAAGATCCCATTCCAATCTTTTTAAATGGACAATAGCACAAAAGTGAGAAAGAGAGAGGGAGAAGGCGGAGAGAGGTCTGCGGCTCGTGGACAAATGAGACAAGGCATGGCACTTCGCAGCCTGGGATTTCTGTGAGCTGCACGTGCCCCCGGCGCCCGCCCCAAGCTCCAAGACACTACATGTAATCACACCAGTGCCGCCAACAACGTCAAGGAATTTAGAATACATGCCGTGAAATCAGCATTCTCAAGGCAGGCTTGACTTCTGCAGGTGACAAGCTGTGACTTTCGAATGAACGCCCTGGCTGAAGGCATACTCAAGAATGCCACCATGCCACTCACGCTGCTCTCTGAAGCCCAGGCCACATGCTCTCGCGCTTGTGACGTTCCCGGAAAGCACCGAAGAGGCCTGGGAAAAGTCTGTACCCAGACAGGCAGGGACCAACTGTTTTAAAGGCAACTGACCAATCTGGCTGGTGTGGCTTAGTGGTTGAGGACGGACCCATGCACCAAGGGGTCTCTGGTCCAATTCCCGGTCAGGACACATGCCCAGGTTGTGGGCCAAATCCCCAGTGTGGGGCACGCAGGAGGCAGCCAGTCAATGTTCTCTCTCATCAATGTTTCTCTCTCTCTCTCTCTAAAAAAAAAAAAAGTCAATAAAGGAAGATTTTTTTAATAAGTAAATAAATAAAGGTGACTGACGAGGTCCTCAGCACTCCAACTACATAGTTACATGGTTTAATGATTACCAGCAAAAAAACCCCCTCATCCTCTGACCCTTGTTCCATTGTCTTCCAGATTCCGAATGGACAAATAATGTGTAACTGTTGGAAGAGTACACCTGGAACACTGATTACTTATGATTTAAGAAGTTTCCAACGTTTTTCTTTCCAAACTAATTTGGCTTCTTTATAACACTGCTTTTATTCTCTAATAATAGCATGGTTTTGCTTATTCTTTCCAAAGTAGTTGTGACAGCAAAGTCATAAGAATGTATTCTTTTCAAAGGTTCCTTTTAGACCCTGCGTTTCGAAGTGTTTTCACACTTTATTCCATTTGATCGTGACAGCACCTCGTGAGTCGGGTAGGGCAGGCGCTGTTCCCACTCTGGAGAATGAACCTGGGCAGCGGGAGAGTGTGAGGCCCCAACTCCAACCACAGTCACCAGACACCAGCACCAAAACAGCCGTGCCCGACGGTTTCCACACTCAGCTTCTCCCCCTGCTCCGTGTTCGGCCCCTGACTTAGGAAAGTGCTTTCAGAGCATCAGCACAAGACTGAGTTACTCCACGGGGTCGGCCGAAGCTTCCACTTCACTAGATGTCAACCAGCTCTTGGAGCTGAGTTTTCTTCCCATCCTTCCAACCCCCTGCCGTGGGCAGCCCACAGCATGGCCATTCCTGCCTGCCTGGCTCCCTTGCCTGCCTGTGGCAAAGGAGAGTGTAAACTGAACAGTTTTGATCCTTGGGGACACGGGAACAGCTAAAGAGGGGCCTCTTTGCAGTAAGACAGAACTGTAACATTTGTTTTAAAAGTAGAAGAGCCCAGCCGGTGTGGCTCAGAGGATTGTGCGTCGCCCCATGGACTGAGAGGTTCCAGTGCAATTCCCAGTCATGGCTGGTTCAATTCTCAACCAATGCCCACGTTGTGGGCTTGATCCCCAGTAGGGGATGTGCAGGAGGCAGCTGGTCCATGCCTCTCTCTCTCTCTCTCCCTTGCTCTCTAAAAAAGTCAATAAAAACATATTTTTTAAAAATTAAAATTAAAAGTAGAAGAAAGAGAACTAACCTGTTGATACCTTACTAAATTGAAAAAATACTTTTTTCTTCCCAAGAAAAATGTCAAACCCTGGCTAGGTGGCTCCATCGGCTGGAGCGTTGTCCCGTACACCAAAAGGTTGCAAGTTTGATCCCCCGGACGGGGTGAGTACGGAAGGCAACTGATTGATGTTTCACATCAATGTTTCTCTCTCTAAAATAAATAAACATGTCTTCGGGTGAGGGGTAAAAAAAACGAGAAAGAAAGAAAAATGCCCCAAACTGCATTATCGGGTCTACTGAAATGGGACGGTGTCCAAGGGAAAGTACTGAGGCTCAGTGCTCCGATAGGTCCTGGTGCCACTGTGGGCTTTGAGTTCAGAGACAGCTGGAGATACAGACAGCATCACCTCTCCTCGAAGTGACCTGGAATCGGTCTGTGAAATCAGTGGAAACAACCACATAAATCTCTCATTTCTCGAAAGCTGTCTTAGGCCCGTCCTGGCAGTATTATGAGATCCCTATCCCAGCCTCCGCCCACACTCACACACGTAGAAGCCTCACCAAGGCAAGAATTTTTGTCTCTCCTGTTGACTGCTTTCTCCTCAGTGCCTACAACTGTACCTAGCATATATCAGATACTCCATAAATACTTGTTAACTTACACAAAATAACCAGGAATTAAAGAAAAGAAACAGCGGTGTCATAATTGTTACTGGTTTGGTATAACAGTTCCCAACACTGTCTCTCTCAAGTTGATAACAGCACCCTGCAACAGCAGGACTTAGTTTCCATGGTGACTTAGGGCTACCATGGGTCAGAGTCCTCCTGAAACAAGCTTATGGAAATGAAGGCTTTTATGACACATTAGCCTTATCCTAAGACGTGACAGTCAGTCCTGCTATAGTTTGTATCACATTTCGAAATTTCATGTTTGAAAAAAGAAACATCAAGAAGGAGAGAAATCACTTAGTCATTCCATACCTGTGCCTTCGGTCTAGCTGTCTGATTAACTGGTCTAAGGTGAACTCCCTTTTTAATTCTATCCATCATCTCTTCAACGGCTTGCCTCTTCAGATCTGTGACTTCTTCAGCTATTCAAAGAACACACACACAAATCATCTTAGATTACAAGAAAACAGCTACTTCCTATTTTTGGTGACTTACAAAGATTATACTATGTAATTAATCAGTCATTTTTCAAAGTCACAATATACCGACAATTTAAGGTTAACAGTTACCAGATAGCAACATATTTGTTCATAAAAATCTTTTAATAAAAGATCTGCTTTGAAAAATAAGACTTACACATTTTAAGGTCTAATTTGTAGCCTGAAAATCAACACCAGCTCATTTATGCTAAATAATTAAAGTGGATTTTGTTTCCTTTGTCAGCAAATGAGAGACTTGAATTTCTACAGGTCTTCAGAAACCCAACTTTGTAACTAACCCCAAATAATCATTCATCTTTGTCACAAAGATATTTTTATAAGTTATGGTACATCATATGTCAAAGAAATCAGCCCAAAGAAGTATCTATCAAAAAGCCCATTTGATGGCCAAGAGACATATGAAGAAATGCTCAACATCACTAATCATCAGAGAGATGCAAATTAAAACAACAATGAGGTATCACCTCACACCTGTCAGAATGGCCGCCATCAACAAATCATCAAAAAACAAGCGTTGGCGAGGGTGTGGAGAAAAGGGGACTCTAATACACTGCTGGTGGGAATGCAGACTGGTGCAGCCGCTATGGAAAACAATATGGTGCTACCTCAAAAAATTAAAAATTGAACTTCCATTTGACCCAGTGATCCCACTGCTGGGAATATACCCTAAGAAGCCTGAAACACCAATCAGGAAGAATATATGTACCCCCATGTTCATAGCAGCACTATTTACAATAGCTAAGATCTGGAAACAGCCCAAGTGTCCACCAGTAGACGAATGGATAAAAAAGCTGTGGTACATATACACAATGGAGTACTATGCAGCAGTAAGAAAGAAAGATCTCTTATCCTTTGAGACGACACGGAGGGACCTGGACCTAAGTGAAAGAAGCCAAGCAGAAAAAGACAAATACCACATGATCTCACTTATATACGGAATATAATGAACATAACAGTCTGAGGAATACAGTAGACCCAGACACATGGAAGTAGGACAGACTGACATCCCTCAGAAGAGGGGATGGGGGGTGGGAGGGTGGGAAGAGATAAACCACAGAACTTATATGCATGTATGCATGACCAATGGACATGGACAACTAAGCCGGGGACAGGGTGGGGGGGGGGTGGGGGGGGGGGTGCCAATGGGGTAAAAAGGTAAAATATCTGTAACAAAAAAATAAATAAAAATTCTTAAAAAAAAAAAAAAAGCCCATTTGAAAATAAAAGATCAGAAAGATTCTTTCACTTATTGAAAAAAATTCAGTCAAAAGATGAGCAGCAAATAGGTAAAATCTATTTTTTAAATTGCCATCTTTTGTTTAGGAACCACATGGGAAGGAAACATTTAAGCCAACCTTTTTTGAGTCCTTTAAAATTGTCCATGTTAAAAGAAAACACACATCTAGAAATGACTGTAATTAAGTAATTAAGTTTGATTTTAAAATTTCAACTGTCTATTGTCTAACCTTTGCACGGTTTTGCTGCAAAAACAATCAAGCTGTTGAAATATGTACCAATTAGATGAACGCAACTGTGGTGAGCATTAACCTGTTGATCAGAATGCAGACATGTGTCTCTTTTCCAGAACAGCTTGACCAAAAGCACGGAATCATTTTTGGACTATTTACCACTATTAATGCAGTCCTAGATCTTGTGTTTACCTCCATCTAAAACACTGCAGCCAATAGATTTACGTTTAAATATCTCATAAAGACCTTCCCATTAGCATCTTTAATAAGACCAAACACGGTGGGCACTCAACAAGTATCTGCCTACGGACTGACTTGTCAAGTTTGGGTTTGAAATGGCTATTAAAATTTTTATTGTTTGAGCAGAAATAACTAAGCCCTAAAAAGTTGGCTTCTAAATGGAGGCCATCACAACTACATCCCCAAGCTAATTGATAGTAGGGGCAGGCTTTGCCCTAAGGCCTAAATCATGGCTTCCTTTTCTGCTACCTGGCTGGAATTCACTAACCCTGGGTGGTTATTCTGCTTATATATATGCCCAGGGGAGCAACTCAGAGAGTCTAGAAGGTTCCATCATCCTCACTGCTGCGAGCACCATAGTGATGGGATCACTGCTACATTCATTGAATAAACTAGGTTTTCTGATACAGCCCTGACTTCCAACAGTATTCTGTCATCCTCACAAGCCACTGAAGTGCTGGAAATTAAAATATCTAAACAGCATTTTTCATATCCAAAAGTAAAAAAAAAAATACAGTATCTTTTGCCAGGCAATGTGGGAAAAACAGCACCAAAGCCGGAACTCAATCACCAGAAAATAAAAAGGACAAAACTGTGCTTGATCAACTATGTGCCCCTGAGTAGCATTTTCCTGGGCAGCTTCCGCTGATGGTTCACACACATCAACAAGGGTACAGACGAGAAAATTATTATGGATAGAAATCCACCCATCCATCCATCCATCCATCCATCCATCCATCCATCCATCCATCATTCATTCATCCTCTCACTCATTCAATATCTGAATACCTCAATAATGCACTACGCAGAGCTTTTGCTGATCCTTTTCAAAACCAAAGGAGATAAAACCCAGATCTGTCATTCAAGCACCTGGTATGGGTATGGAATTTCTTCCTGGGAATTAAAAGAAACATCTTCAAAAAAAAAGATCTAGTGTTCAAAAACGCTGCCATTTTGAGAGAGACTTGGAAAGAGCGGCATGGCAACAGGAACAGAGCCTACAAACAGATTAGCACTCTGTAAGGAATGACAGAAACCCAATTAAATGCACCATACAAAACTACTTAAGGCAGACAGATGGAGAATTATGGTCAACACCATTCAGATCTGCTGCCGCATCTAACATAGCAGGAATTTAAAGTAGTTTCTTATTTCTGCTTGCCAGAATCATAGTGATAACTCAGAGAAGTGCCACTATCTGTACTGTGCACAGATTATAAACCAGGCCTTTGATTTCTCAGTCTTTTTCAAATGTAAAGGCTTAGTTGGTCGTAAGGAAAAGAAATCACTCTTATCAGATACCCTAGTCGGGCACAATACCAGGGCAATGCTAGGTTAGCTACACAAGCTTTCTTTCTCCCTGCCCCTGTTTTTGAACCAGCAAAAAGCAATCTATACGAACTTCTAAACTGTTAAGCTGTTCTAATAAATCTGCAAGAGTCACCTACGGAGAGCTCATGGTATGTTTTGTAATTCTTTCTGCAATCATGCAGTTGGTAATTGTCTCACAAAAGCATGTAATCAGGGGGACAATGGAAATATGCAGGATCCTGGAGATTAAAGAAAGGGGACAAATGAAGACAACAGGTCTAATGTTATTGAACTACCACAGGAAAATCAAATCAAATGTTCTTTGAGTTAGTGCTTCAAGGTCAGTCTTGGATCAGAAAGCTACATGTAATTAATTGAGGCTTAAATTTTAAGACCTACTTGAAAAATAAGTTAATTCCTTAAAAAGAAAGAAAAAGACCCACAGACAAAACCATCACCTTATTGCTCAATGAAATCTTTTGTTATTACCTAAAAGAAACGAAAATGAATGTTTAATGCCAAAGGATTACTCTTCTCTTTCACTAACATTTTTAAAAGGGCATTAAAGCCCTGGCTGTTTTGGCTCAGCAGTTAGAGCATCGGTCCCAGACCAAAGAGTTGTGGGTTCAATTCCAGTAAACGGCACGTATCTTGGTTGTGGTTCATTCTCCAGCCCTGGTCTGGGTCATGCAGGAGGCAACCAATCAATGTGTCTCTCTCACATTGATGTGTCTCTCTCTGTCTCTCCCACCCCCCAATCTAAAGATAAATAGAAAAATATCCTCAGGTGAGGATTTAAAAAATAAATAAATAGTCCTGGCCCGTTTGGCTCAGCGGATAGAGCGTCAGCCTGCGGTCCAGAGAGACCCGGGTTCGTTTCCCGCTAAGGGCATGTACCTCGGTTGCAGTTTGTCCTTGGCCCTGGTTGGTCGTGCGGGTGGCAGCCACTCGATGTGTCCCTTTCACCTCTCCCTCTCCCCCCCCCCCTCTCTCTCTTCCTCTCTCTCACTCCCACTCTATTTGAACAAAAAAATGGAAAAATGACCTTGGGTGAGGATTAAATAAATAAAAAGGCATTAAAAAAAAATCTTATGCCACCATGATGTACAAAATTTCTAAAGACTGGATCATGGTTGAACAAGTCTGAATTTGACCTCAGGTCATAAAGTTAAGGAAATGTCTAACTACAGTAATCGTAAGAGCCTGCCAACTGACTCCTGCCCCGCAAGGGTGGTTAGGACCTTGTCCCTTTTCTGTTTAGCTAACATTTGGGGTATTTGCTATATGTTAAGTATTACCCTAAATGATACTCAACAGTTCTCACAACAAATCTACGAAATAGGAACTACTATTATCCTCATTCTATGGATTAGTAAACTGAGGTAAAAAATATCAACAAATTAATGACCTAAATATATGATATTTCAGAACATGTCCAATAACTGCATGCTTATCAAAATTAGTTACTAACTTCAAAGTCTATAATGATTTCTTATATTTAAACCTTAAAACCACCATAGTATTCCACAGACCTTCCCTACAATCACGTTTTCTAAGAGCCATAACCTACCAACAGAAGTTCCCCCATTCATAAGCTCTGAAAGGCACACCAGTGGAATAGGAAAAACACCGTAAGAAGTGAACATAGAAAATGCCGTGATAGCAAGTATGGTCCCTTCATTTTAAATGGCAACTCCAAGGTGTTTGGTGCTCTACATCCATTCAGCATGCATTTAATTACTGCGGATGCATTCATTCAACACATTTTTTAGTGGGAACTGTTAACAAGACACGCTCAGTAACCTCGCCAGAGAGAGCGAGGCTCCAGCCCCGTGTGGCTGTGGCACCTGTCACATCGGGCAGTTTGATTTTAGAGGCTCTAGTGTAAAACCTCACGAGCAATTTCTGCGTCAGTAACTACAAATTCACAAAGTGCAATGCCATAGCTCACGGATACGGGAGGAAATACCACCACATGTCATGAATTGCAAATGAAACATCATTTTCCTAAGGAAAAGTATGGTTTCTAACATTGGAGGTTAACAAATTCTAGAATCCTTTTTTTCAAGTTAAGGGTGCCATGCAGGTTGACGAGCTAATACTGTAATTTACTTAGAAGGGGAAATCATTTTGTTCTGCCTTCCTGACCCTCCCAGACTTACCAACTGTCCCCAAACAAGATAGAAAAAAACCAAAGTTTAATTCCAGGGAAGGTACATAGCCAGGAACCCAGGAGAAGGGCCGTCCTGCAGATCACCACAAGCAGGACTTTTTCTGAATCCCGTGATGCCCTGTGCAAAGCAGAATTTGCCTTTCAGCTGCATTACTATGCAGAGGAACATACAAGGGCTGTAGGAACCAGGCACAGAAAGTCAGCGCGTACACATGAAATCAAATGGCTTTCATTTGTAACAGTTGTGAGGCTCTTGCTAAAAGAAAAAAGACGAAATCTGATCTTAGACTCATTCAATGTGCATGAAAACAGTGAGATGCTGCAGAGAGGAGCACCCTCAACGAACTTTCAATCTGTTCAAGGGGGAGCTATGGAAAAACTCAGACACCAGAGCCGAAGCCGGCGGTTGGGGAGACATTAAACCTCTGCTGTAAAATGGAAGCAAAATGCTACAGCAACACACAGTGATGAGCCATTCATTTTGGATTATTAATACTAACACTAGTAAATAAGAGGGAAGAGCCTGAACACAGACGACGTGCCTGGAACCTACCCCGGAGATGCCGAATTAGAGCAGCACCCTGCTGAGAAAGCCCTCACTGGAGGAAGGGCCGGAGGGCGACCCTGGGAAGGCAGGAGCAAGTGCGTAGGGGGCTTGTGGAGATGGTCCAGCCACAGGTGGGGCAGGTGCAAGGAGAAATGAGGCTGAACGGAAAGCAGAGAACCGGCTACAAACAGACGACGATGGAGTCTGCATTCTGCTGATGCAGTGAGAAGCACGGAACGCAGGACGACGGGCGCCCAAATCCATGACCCGAGAACGCCACCTTGCCAATGACACGAGCAGGCCTGGACGGCAGGAATGAAACCTGCCGCCAGGTAAAGGGGGCCAAGAAGTTGACACCAGTCTGGGCCTCAACCAGGCAGGGCTGCCCTCCTTTGCAACTCGTAGGTATTGAGCAAACGTAGTTGGATTTAATTTGGGTTCTACGGTTCGCAGGCACAGAGACCCAAGATCTGGCCCCAGCACTGCAGGTGCTGCGCTCACTGTGGCTGCTCACCCACTGCCACAGTGCTGTGAACTGACTGCACCCAGCCGCTCAGTGCCCTGCTCCACAGGAGCCCCTCCCCCAACTCCCGGCTCCTCCCAGTGTCCTCAACAGCTCCCCCTGCAGCGGATCGCAGGCGTGACTCTGAACTCCCCGAATAATTCCCGAATCTCTCCATTTCTTGCCATCTCTACGGCTGCCACCCTGATCTGAGCCACCACCAGCATTCATCTGGAAGACGGCAACAGTTCCCTCGGGTCCACTCCTTCCTTGACAGTCTCTTCCCTCTTCGCTCACTGCAGCAGGTGTGATTTTTTTTTTTTTAAAGAACACAAATATCAAGTTACACCGCTACTTAAAACGTCGCTGCCCTTAGGATAAATGTCAAAATCCAGCTCCTGCCGACCTATCAGAACTCCTTCCTGCACCCCACGTTCTAGGAACGTCAGCTTTGTTTCGGTTCCCTGATGTGCCAAACTCTTTCCCCACTTTCGACCTTTGAATCTGCTGCCTCTCTGTGTGAACTACTTTTATCCTAAATACCCTCACCTTGATCTTCTAAATCCACTATGACTCAGCTTAAACGTCACTGACACCTGCTGCCTACCTCCACACTCTCTATTTAGACTATATTTAAATAATTACACATTTCATTGGATAATTTCTTGTTTCTCCCTGTCTCCCCCGCTCCAATGTAATTTCTATGCCTTGCATCTCCAGTACACAGGCCTGAGTAGTACACAGCAGGTGCCTGACAAAGTCTCCGTCCACCTGCTGCCACGCCTACAGAGCTTTTCTCCGAGCTCGTCATCTGGAATCACCGCCTCTCTTTCCTTGATACCCCAAACGACAGCATACCTTCATCGAATGTCCCAGCATGCTCCACCTTACAGTCATGTGTGTGCCTGTCCACCTGCCCCACACAGCCAGGCACACGAGAGCCAGGCCTGTTCTCTGGGTTACGCTACAGCTGTCAAGGTCACACTTCTCCCCTGACAGTCCGTGCAGAGCGGAAGAACTCAACAAACGTGTGTACTGGTAGGAAAGTGTATGCCATCGCCCCTGAACACAAAGCAACGGGGTGCGAATTACTTGTTTCGGGCTGCGCCGCCTTTTCTTTCTTCCCACCGCTGCCGCCGGGGTGGGATCGCTTCCGGATCATGGACATGAGGGACCTTCGGGAGAAGGAAAAAGATCGACAGGAGATTACTGGATGCTTTAGGATCCAAGACATAACACGTACAGATTCTAATGAATCAGTAAATATCCAACTACTTTCTAAGGTGCATAATGTACAACGAGGATTTAAGTAGCCTACTTTCCACTTGTAATAAATTAGCAAACTTTTCATCACTTCGAGGAAGCAAAAGGCGTCTCATCACTTTCTGTGAGAAACCAAGCGAATTACTGAAAGACAGGGACCGCTGTAATTCTCAATACAATGCATAGACATATACAAAATAACATGGATGAATCTTATAAACAGGTATTTGTAGGTATGCATTCATATATGCATATGTATGTATCTCCCTATAGTTCAGAGACAGAGATGAAGATTGAAAAAAAAACTGTTCTTTAAAAGAAGGATAAGATAAGAGACTCTAGGGTACCAGCATTGTTCTTTCTTGATTTGGATAGTGCTCACACGGATGTTCACTTCATATTATTTTTAAATGGTCCACAGGTTTGTGTACATTTCTACAGATGTCATCATTCATCCAAAAAAGTTTACCAAAAACAAATTAGTCAAGAATTCTTGAATTCTTTCAACTACATTGTAAATGTACTCAGTGTGATCAACCGGACAAAGAAAAGTCCTGAGGAAGACCAGCCGGGAAGCCAGCAATGGGAAACATAAAATACCTGGGGGGTCTGAGAGGCACGATGTGAGCCCTAGAAAGAGGGATAACTGGATATCTATAACTGGAACACCTGCTCTGAGGACCAAACTACTCAGTTTCTTCATCACTGTAATTTTTTTTTTACTTCTCACTTCTACCTTTAATTATATTATTAATCCCCTCTCTGATGGCCTTTTCTCAAAATTCCCGAACACCCTGAACTGTCTCCCACAAAGCACTACATCCAGCTCCACTTTGTGAAATTCCCAGGACCTACCAACCGGGAAACAACCCGCCACTGGGCTTTGACTTCATCTAGTTTGTCTTCTTTGAGCTCATAGTGGCCCAAAATAGAATTAAATTATTTTCACCAAAGTCAGAAATTCTACTGTACACCGAACTTTGAAATAAGCACGTTCTATTCCAGAAGTCGGCAGGAAGAAAATAATGCAAATTTTATTTGCTCATTCTCCCCGTTCTGGCAGGAGTGTTCAATGTCTGCCTGCTCTTGGTTTGCAGAAGGGTGAGGCTTGGGGAGGGTTCTCACTAATCATTGGCCTCTCCTTACCCTCTCAAAACACTCTATAATGAGCATACCTCTAATTATGAAAATTTTGAGAGTGTGCATTATTGTACATAAAGATGACAAAGCAGGAAGTCATTTGTCCTGCTCAGAAGATTTGCATATATTTACATGAATGAAGTAAGACTATATGGTCATCATTGTAAACCACCTAAGTAGAAAAAGTGCTCGCTTTAAATGTTCTGAATTGAAGTATAAGTTTGGGGACTGGTATGGTACCCAGAGGAAAACCGTACATAATATTAGAAAAGAACCATCTGTCAAGATGAGGCTTAGATCACACAGAAAATAGGTAGGGTGGGTCTCACAGGACACATGAAAAGACCAGGACAAGACACCTGGAACTAATAATCCAAACCATTGTCTAAAAATCTCCCCATTTCACAGCCACTTCAATTGAATGGATAAAGGGTTCTCCAAAGATGGATAGTTCAATGGAATATATTCCCCTTGAACTTTTTAAATTTATCTTTATTGCTGAATGTATTATAGATGCCTCCCCACCTTCATTAACAAGTGTACCTCATGCCCACTGTGATGTTTAATTCCATGGGTCAACTTGACTGGGTCATAGGTACTCAGATATATGGGCAAACATTGTGGGTGTTTCTTTGAGGATTCTGGATGAGATTAATGTTTAAGGTGTAGTCTCAGTAAAGCAGATTGCCCTCCCTAATGTGGGTGGGCCTCGTCCAACCAGTTGAAGGCCTGAAGAGAACAAAAGGGTGATGACCCTCCCCCATGTAAGAGAGAACTTCTCCTTCCTGACTGCCTTGAAATTAGGGCCTCTTTTTCTCCTGCTTTCAGACTCAGATTGAAACATTGCCTCTTCCTGGGTCTTGAGCCTGCTGACCTATAGACTGAAACTCTACCCTAGTCTCTCCTTGGTCGCCAGCTTGCTGACTCACCCTGCAGATCCTGAGTCTTGTCCATGTCCATAATAATGTGAACCAATTCTTTAGAATAAATAGCTTTTTATGTATATGTGTAAGCACATGTATACACACACACATACCCTATTGGTTCTGTTTCTCTGGGGAACTCTGACAAATACATTAATATAACCTACCTTTTCCCCATGAGCCACACCTTCCCAGGACCTATCCTATTTCACTACCACCAGTATAAAATGACCTACATCAGGGTAAAGCAGATGAGAAAACCATTGATTAGTGGGTTCAAAGTCCACTGAAACTCAATACGTATGCAAATATATTTCGTTGAGAACTTCTCCTTACCAAAAAAAAAAAAATTCTTCTTTCTACTGAGAAAATGTATCTTATACTATTTAAATTCATCTTAAAATAAAAAGTATTCATGTTAGTCAATGAATTTTCTTTAAAGGGCTTTATAAAAGAATTCATGCTTTAGATATATGGTCTGAATTCTACACTCATTTGTTAATTTAACTGGAAAGTGCTTTTTGGGCAAATATTCTATTTAGGTTATACTGTACTTTGAATTTGAAGGGCTCGCAAGATTTCTGAGACTAAAAATTAAAGGCCAACAACAAGACTATAATCGCTTTTTAATAGTTCTCCCTCCTCAAAGACAGAAGTGACCTTTCTTATCAACTCAAAACTCCAGACCTTGGAGAAAGATCAAAGTGATGAATTTCCTGTTTTAAATGTCAAATTCAGAATATCTCCATCTCCTGCAGACTTAGCAACCCAGGAGAGAAAGAATTTAAAATACCTGGAATTCTGTTAATTGACTCTTGGATCTATCCTGTGTAAAAATTATTTTGCTTTAACCACTTCAGTGGTTTAAAAGAGACTGCCATCCCTTCCTCAGTGAGGAAAACTAATGAGAACTTTTATTAAAGGCGAAGCCTCATTTTTAGAGCGTGTGGGAGGAACAGACCACGCATTCTATTCAGATGGATCGGCAAAGGTACAAAGCCATTCGACTAAATGGCTTCTCTGTGTGAAAGGATTAAACAAATCACATGAGTTAATGAAAGGTAAAAATCTAGCAAATTTTTAAATTCCATTTGTTCAAGAATCGATTATACAGGAGCAGCTCACACCATGACCTAAGGAGGTAAGATGTCACCAGAGCAGGTAGACTGTCTCGTGTCCTGCGTGGCGGAAGGAAGGACCACAGAGGAGGCACACTCTGACCAGATCCCCTGGGGGTACCGTGCTTACTTCAGGCCACCAAGTTTCCTGAGGCTTCAGGAAAAGTGAATTCTTGTCTGCACAAATGATTTGCTGTCACAAGAACTGAAACATAACTTCCTCTTCTCATGGAAGGTTCCTCTCTCAGCATTACGGAAAGTTGAAATATGAGGTTAGGAATAAAAGTCATCAGTACTTTCAGTTTATTAGTTTATAATTAGTCCTGTTACGTTTTCATCTAGTACTTTTATTTTCAAAGTAATTGAACAAACCAGTGCTTTTCAAATTCAATTTAGCGAGAGACAAAGATGAAAGCATTCTGGAGAAGCTCAAGATTCCTCGCATTTAAAGGAAATCACAAGGACATGGACTGCGGTTTTAAAACCGAAGTCTCCAAGCAGTTGGTACTGTCTCGCTCCTCGCGGTTCAGAACATCCACGTGGACTCTCAACACCTACGACAGAACATCGTCAGCCTCCAGGATGTCTCTGCCAGGTGCTTTTAGGCCCTTTCTGTACATATTAAAGAAGGGAATGATGGATCGTCTTCAGCAAGTTCTCTGGGAGAAGCGCCCGCTGACATCTTTCATACGTCTTACCATCCCTCCAACGATGCCATCTGAGCCAGCATTTACAAAAGTGCCATGAACATAAACCTCAGGTTCTCTGACAAAGAATTATACTGGTGTGGAGCAGTCTTCCTGCCTGCACTCACCGGATAGGATTGGGCGGAGGGGGGGGCAGCGGAGGCGGAGGAGGAGGTGGTGGAGGTACCGAATTCTCAGACTGGTTCACCCGTTTCTGGAGTTCATCAACTGCACAGAGAGCACACGTTCAGAAAAGAGCGACAATAAGTGACTTAACACCTTTTGCACATGTAAAAGATAAAATGTCAGTTCTTTTTCATTAAGGCGGAGTTGGAAAATTCACTATGAAACTGCAGAACCTTGTAAACCATCACTCATGCAAGAGGCCTTACACGTGGTACAAGAAAACGCCGCCATCTGTTTGCTGCACACACAGCTGCGGAGAAGAAAAACGTGCAGACAATGGCTGGCCGGGTGGGGAGGGCGGGCTGAGTGGGCTGAAGAAATATTCGTTAGCAACAAAATATACTACTCAGACACCAAGAAACTGGTAATACTTGACTTTTAAAATGTATAGGCCAAGAATTAATTTTAAAGATGACATTTAGTACTGAATTTTAATAGCATGCTTTCCTCCTCCAGTTAATTTCCTTCAGAAACTGAAACCCTTAGTGTTCTTGATATTAACCAGACTCTCAGATGTCTGTAACTCAGCAATGGTTTGCTCTTTTGAAGAGCACTCTGGAAATATAATGTATCCATTCAACTCGCTCACGTCATGAACGAAACAGGCATTTACTAAGCACGGACAATGTGCAAGGGCTACTGGTGCTGTTCCAGACACCGTTCCTGACTCCGGGGAGCAGAATTCACATTTCCATCACAGACGCACACACCTCTGACACGGGCTCTAATGGGCTCCAGGGACTGTCTGCACTCTAGCTCTCTGTCCACACGGCCACTCCCCTTTCCAGACTGACTGTACCCCAGTGGTCAGTCCAACTGTTTTTACTCTCAATACTTAATAAGCTAAGCTCTCCGACACCATGACTCTTCCACTCATTCCATATGCATGTGACTGTCTCTCCAAAGGGAACTGGAGTTCCCTGGGACAAAAGGCATGGTTTCTTCTCTTCTGTGTTTCTTACAGTACCCTAGGATATGGCTGGGCACACACAGCGGAAACTAAAACATGTTAGACACTGAATGCCAAACATCTCTGTCTGCTGCCACCTTTTATAATAAAGATAGACGGCATTCAGAACAGGCTGGTCTGATATTCATTAACTAAAGGGGATAGAATATTTAATTTTCAATCAATTTTTAAAAATAAACTAATTAATTTTTCACTGTAGATTACAAAGCACTGAACATTTTTTTTTTAAAGGAAGAAAGGCAACTCAGTCCTTCTGTACAGATTTCAAAATTCTAGCATAAAATTAACCCAAAATATCTGAAGTGAATATTGAAGCTGTTATAAAGGGAACAACCTGCCTTCTTAAATGACCTGCCTTCCAACAGAAACTTATTACTTATCCCTGTACAGTAACCCAACTCACACACTCCTGTTAAGCTGTGGAGAACTGAATGAATAAATCCTTTTAAGTATTCCCTGGTGTTTTAAAAGTTTCCCATTTAATATATATATTGTTGCCCATTTTATTGTTAGGTGTGATATTGTAAGCATTACTTCAAGTGTATAATTAGACACCAAAGATGAAGGTGATATAAATCTAAAAAAGGTAATTCTTTTTAAAAATGTACCCGGAAATGATAAAATAACTACTTAATGAAACTCATAGCTGAAGCCCTGAGAAATGCTGGAATTTTGGCTTCCCATATTAATGGTATCTTTGTTCATAATTCTGTGTGATGCTCACAAAGGCCCTAAGTCCAAAAAAGAAGTTTAAATATTTGTGAATCATTTCATTACAAAGGCCATTCTACTACTGAATAGCAATAGTTAGACAGGAAGGAATTTAGAAGCGAATCTTAGTATTTTTCTATAGCATTCAGTAAATGTTCTGAACTGAGACTATATGCCGGGTTTTGTGCTGGGCCTGAGAGAGTCACAGATTAATAATAAGACATAGCACCCTACTCAATGCTTTTACCAGAATGCTTTAAATTTCTGGCTTTCTCCTCAGAACTCTGATATTTCGATTCCAATTCTTTTTTATCTTCTTCTAGAAGCTCCACTTGCTGTTTGAGGTTGTGTATCTCTTTGTGGAGTGTTTCATTTTCAAGTTGTTCTTCTAATTCTTTGACCTGCAAGTTATAAACAGATTTTTATAGAATGATAAAGTTTTTTATCCTTTTATTTTCCAGGAAAATAAAGGGAAAAAAAAAATGTTTCCCATTTCCTTTGCACTTCATAGCAAAGAGATTCCAATCCATCTTAAAAACGATAAAAATTCTGGGGTACAGATAATACTTAAAATCATTATCAAGTATTTGATTCAATATAAATTTACTGGAGACCTATAACCCAAATAACTTAATTTTTAACGTGAGCCAAAAAAGTAAAACCATGCCTAAAAACTTCATTTAAAACAGATGAATACTTCCACACTCATTTTCAAAGACCCCTGGGGGCACAGTTTAGTAACAAGCATCAAACCCTTAAAAAAAGATGATGAAGGAAAGGCCCTGTGATTCAGTAATACAACTTTTATAATTTGTCTTAAAAAATAAGAAGAAAACCAGTGTTCAAATACATTCACTACAGTATTCTTTGTAACAGGGAATAATTGGAAATAACCTCAATGTCTGCCAATAGTATTGACTTAATATATTCTGGGTGTTCATTAAATGAAATGCTATAGAACCATTTAAAATCGCACAGCTCACTCTGCACTCACATGGGAAGATGTATTAGTAGTGATCTTAAAAATAAGGTTACAGAACAGGACACATGGTATGATTCCATTTAAACTATATTCATAAAAGTAAATATTTATATAAAGTTTAGATAAGCACCAAAGTATGAGATTCTTGGGTAATCTTAATTTTCATCTATTTTTTTCTCTATTTTAAAAATTTGTTTATTAGGTCCTCGGGTGAGGATTAAAAAAAAAAAAAAAAAGAAAGAAGCCCTGGCTGGTTTGGCTCAGCGGTTAGACCGTCGACTTGCGGTCCTGAGAGACCCGGGTTCGGTTCCCGCTAAGGGCGCGTACTTTGGTTGCAGTTTGTCCCCGGCCCTGGTCGGTTGTGCGGGTGGCAGCCACTCGATGTGTTCCTTTCACATCGATGTTTCTCTCTCTCTCTCTGTTCCTCTCTCTCCCTCCCACTCTACCTGAACAAAAAATGGAAAAATGTCCTCGGGTGAGGATTAAAAAATAAAATAAAATAAAAAATAAAAAAAAATAAAAAAAAATAAAAATTTGTTTATTAGAAGGAATATGTTATCTTTATAACTGTGAAAACAATATATCTGTGTTTTAAAATTGCTGAAATCTACGGTCTATTTTATAAACCACATACATAAAGTATAACTGTGTATTTTAACTGTATGGCATAGAACTATGGCGTAGTGTAGTGGTTTTAGAAGTAACGACTGCTATAAATTCACTAATGACTTTTATCTAATCCTCAGGAGTTCTCACCCTACCCAACAAGGTAAATATATAACAATTTAGTCCCACACCTCAGTTCGAGTCAACAGATTCTAGGTATGCATTATTTACTAAATGAGTTAACTGCAAGGAATAGGACTTTTCAAAACCGAAAAATTCTAGGATAAGCTAAATAAAAATAGCATTCCTTTATTTTCTCTTTATTTAAAATGGTGATCTGGCTTGCGGGGACAAAACAAAATGATTTCCCTCCCATCTTCTATGCATATACCAGCATCCAGCTTTGTAAAAACTTCAGAAATCTTCAAGGGTTAAATGTCAATAGTGTTCCTTATAGAGGCTTTGACAAATGATAATGAATAGCAGCTAACAGCTTTTCCTTCACAAACTAGGTGCACTGTAAGTAGTATAAATATTGATGTAATTTTTCTCAAGTGGATTCTCTAACTCGAAAGCGTAGTTCTAGCTGCTGGCCCCTCCCTCTCGCCCGCCCCTTCTCTCACCCACCACCGGACTCTCCTTTCTGCGGCGTACACCCAGGTGGGCTGTGGCAGCCGGAATGGTTCCACTCAAACAACCAGAAATAACCACGTAGGATGTCTTTAAACATACACATTTGTGCAAGTTTACAAAATCAGGCATTTTCCCTAAGCAAACAATTACTACCAACATGGACTTTTCCTCCCTCTTTGAATTAAACCTATGCCCCCCCACAAGCTCTTTGAGACAAATACTCCCCAGTGTGCGCAGTCTCCCCAAAACGCAATCAACTCAGGTTTCCAAACGGTGCATGAGGTGCATCAGCCAAGCTCTTCTCAAGTTGTATCTCTTTTCCTCCCTTTGTCCTCCGGGACAGTATAAAGTCTACAATAATGCATTCCATTTTAGTTGCGCACTATATTAAGTTCATTTGGTAGTTTTTGTTTTGTTTCTTTCCTTCTAAAAGAGGAACAGACTTGGTAATTTGGTATGGGGAAGTCTAAGTGACCAGAGTAAGTCTTCTCATTTTGTGTGTGTGTGTGTGTGTGTGTGTGTGAAGACTGCAGAAGAAAGTCTGTTACCTTTTGTTGGTGCTGAATTCTCTCTTCCTCAAGGAGCTGGGTGAGTTTTGCATTTTCATTCAAAGCTTTCAGAAACTGTTGGTCTGGAGCAGAGCTCTGCAGCAGAAGGTGGCTTTGTCTCTTGAGCTTGTTTTGTTCAATGAACATCTGCAAGGGTTAATTATGAAAATGGATAGACCAGTCAACCTCACATATCTCAACTGAAACCTGAGCCAAAGGAAAGCACGTCGCGTTTTTAACAAAAAGTTAAAAGCAATTTCTGAATTCTGTAGTTTGTATAACGAACGGTTTTAGAAGTAATGATTGCTATGATTTCATTCGTAATCTTCATACGATCTCCAGTACATTTACCCTTGCCTCAACAAGGTTCAATAATTGAGCCCTACACTTCAGTTTTTAATATTGTATTATGGCTTTAAAATCCATTGATACTAATAGTAGTAGCTAATATTTATCAAGAGCTTATCTTATGCCAGGTACTCTACTAAATATTTTATTTTAACCATTAACTTAAATATTTTATTTTAATCATTTTGATTTAAGCATTATTTTAATCCTTACATTAACCCTATGAGTCAAATGCTTCTGCTCTGAATAGCTAAAATTTACTACACACTAAGTGATATTTATGGCGGTAATCATTTTACCTATATTATATCATCTAAAAATTAGAACAACTCTGTCAAGTATTATTATCCCACGTTTACTAATAAGGTAAATAAAGCTCAGAGGGGTTAAGTAACTTTCCCAATGACACATGTAAGTGGTAAAACCAGGACTGAAATCCAGCTCTATCTGATTCACAAGCCCAAACTTTTAACTAATCTCATCTATTTTTTTTTTATCCTCACCTGAGGACATTTTTCCATTTTTTTTTTGTTCAGATAGAGTAGGAGGGAGAGACAGAGAGAAACATCGACGTGAAAGGGACACATCGAGTGGCTGCCACCCGCACGACCAACCAGGGCCGGGGACAAACTGCAACGGAGGTACATGCCCTTAGCGGGAACCGAACCCAGGTCTCTCCGGACCGCTGGCCAACGCTCTAACCGCTGAGTCAAACTGGCCAGGGCTCATCTACTATTTACTAGACCTAATGTTTTATTTTTTATTTTGTAAATCCTTGCCTGAGGATATGTCCTTTATTAATTTCTAGAGAGAGAGGGAAGGGAGGAGGGAGGGGGAGAGAGGGAGAGAGAGACAGAGAGAGAGAGAGAAGCATTGATGTGCGAGAGAAACATCAGTCAGTTGCCTCCCATACGTGTGCCCTGACTGGAGATCGAACCCACAAACTTTTGGAATACGAGACAACACTCCAACCAAGTCACCTAGCCAGAGCCTTAATGTTTTGTTTTCGACCAATTAGTTTTCCCCAATGATGAAGTAGTTAACAGCAGGAGGGTAAAGAAGAGAAGGGGAAAGGTATAGGTTTATTGAGTACTTTATAAAGCAATTTACATATATCATTCATTTAATCTTCACAACCTCACATGATTGAAAACAACATTGTTTTCTATTCACCTGTCATTTCTTTTCCTTACTACCTGACACAAGGTAGCTAATGGCTGGTCACGTTTAAAATGTATTTTACTTTGAGAGCACGTCTATTAAAGCCGGGGACGGCAACACAAGGAAGGGCTCAGGACAGAAGCAACAGGAGAGCCTGGCAAGGCTGCTGTGGCTGAGAAGTCAGAGGGGGGGCCTTGGAGACAGGTTCTGGGGGTTAGCCTCAGAGGCGCTGCCGCTGCCCACTGCTCCCCTGGTTGCAAATGTTGTGGTGACCCTTACAGTGTAGGAGATGCACGCCTGAGGGGACAAAATGGAGTGGGCATGCTCCCCGGAGGAAGAATGGGCGTTGTGACCTTTGCCTGGAGGGTCTTAAAGGCTGAGATTTTAGTCCGGCCGGTGTGGCTCAGTGTTTGAGCGTCGACCCAGCACCAAGAGGTCGCTGGTTCGATTCCTGGTCAGGACACATGCCCAGGTCGTGGGCCCAATCCCCAGTGGGGGGCATGCAGGAGGCGGCCAATTGATGTTCTCGCTCATCGGCGTTTCTATCTCTCTCTCCTTCTCCCTTCCTCTCTCTCTAAAATCAATAAAGGAAAAAAAATTTTTTTAAATACATAAAGAATGAGATTTTAGGGGAAATCTCAGGGGAAGATGGATCTCTATAGAATATTCATCAACTTTATGCTAATGTGCCAAAATACCCCTAACTTCATCTGTGCTTGGGTGTGGTTGGCACAAATAGCACTAATTAGATTTCTGCTGTGTGTCTCCCTGAGGAGGGTGATTTAAGCTATTTACCCTCTGATTGGGGAGGAGAAGGGTAAACCATTTACTTTTAAGTGTCCTTGGTTGGGGAAGATAGGATTTTGCAATTAAAAAAAAATTTTTTTTTCTTTATTGATTTGAGAGAGAGAGGAAGGGAGAGGGAGAGAGACAGAAACATCAATGAGCAGGAACATTGACTGGCCGCCTCCTGCATGCCCCCCACTGGGGATTTGGCCCACAACCTGGACATGTGTCCTGACCGGGAATGAAACCGGTGACCTCTTGGTGCGTGGGTCGATGCTCAACCACTGAGCCACACCTGCCGGACAATTTCCTAGATGGCTATAACTACCTGTCTCAGTTTCTCTATTCCACTTGTCCTGGCTCACGCGCTTGCCTCATTCCCCCTTCAGACTCCATCCCTGAAATCCTGTATGAGTGATGAGGGAGGATGGTCAGTCTTCAGTAACTGCTCCCTGCTGACCAGGACCCAGGTCCCTGCTTACACAGGGTCTGGAAGTCTCTCCCTGCTTTATCTAAGGGGAGATAAGAGAATGGGATCTGAGACCGGAACAGAGGCTGTTAGCTGCTTCTTCCAAAGTAGGAACAGGCTGGAATCCCTGAAGGAAGCATCATTGTCGTGATATGAAATTGTTGTATACGAAGCAGGCAATTTGTTTTTGTTTTAATCCTCACCGGAGGACATTTTTTCCATTTTTTGTTCAGAGAGAGTGGGAAAGAGAGAGAGAGAGAGAAACATCGACGTGAAAGGGACACATCAAGTGGCTGCCACCCGCACGACCCAACCAGGGCCGGGGACAAACTGCAACCGAGGTACATGCCCTTAGCGGGAACAGAACCCGAGTCTCTCTGGACCGCAGGCCGACACTCTAACCGCTGAGCCAAATTGGCCATGGCAATTGTGTTTGTGTTTTTGTTTTTTAAATGGACCAGTGGGGCGCTGACTGGTTTGGTTCAGCAGTTAGAACATAGGCCCTTGGACTGAAGAGTTGAGAGTTCAATTTCTGGTCAAGAGCACATATGTGGGTTGCAGGTTCAAACCCCAGCCCAGGTTGGGGTGCATGCAGGAGGCAACCAATTGGTGTATATCTCTCACATCAATATTTCTCTCTCTCTCTCTCTCTCCACCACTTCTTCCCTTTTACTTTATGTAATAAAATTTCAATGGAAAAATACCAAAAAAATTAAATCAATAAAAACATATATTTTTTTTAAAAAAGAAAAATATCCTCAGATGAGGATTAACAAACAAATGGACGAATAGGAGTGAGAAAGAAACTTTCATATTTCACTTTACACATTTGAGAAGTGTTTGTATTTTTTACAAGGCATATGTATTCCTTTTGTAATTAAATACATACAGTAAATTAACTTTAAAAATTAATTTCTAAGTCCCTAGTCAGCAGGTTCCAAAGGGCAGAGGTCACGTTTGCCTTCTTTGCCGTTACGTCCCCACGACCAGCAGAGCCTGGTTTAGTAAAATGTTTGCTGAATGTACCGAGGAGCGAAATGCAGGCAAGCGGTGCTTCTCTCCTTAAAACTCATGCATCTTTTAGCAGCAGTCATCTGTCGAAAACCTGAGAATCTGTAAACCATTAAAAGGGAAGATACGCTGTTTCTAATCTAGCTTTATCTTAAAAGATAGCCTTCTTCTCCCTACTGTGCAGATCAAATCTAGATACTGTAAAATTACTGAGCACAATTGCAAGTCTTGATGCTACCGGCGACCTAAGTGCCTCTGCTCTTTATTTCCCCCTCAAACCTCTCTCTCCTCCCTCTGGAACACAGTGAGCCATCCATTTTCATATTCTTAGAGGGACCCAGCTTCTCCCATCTATCTTCTCTGCTACTGCATGGCCTTCAAGTTTTCTTTGAGCGGCTTTGTATTCTAACATCACTCTACAAACAACAGATGGAAGACTGAAAATGTCTCTCAAAAGTAAGACCCCGGTGTTCGGGTCAGAATCAGCTGACCTCTTCCGTTTTGCAAGGGAGGCGTCTTCATGTGATCTCTACCCTCCCTCCCTCTCAACTGTCTAGTTAGTTCCATTATTTATATTGCTGCAGCTTTTTCCAAAGGGCTCTGACACACTCCAGTTCTGTTTTCTTTCTTCCAAGAAGTAAGGGAACAGTATTTACTCACCTTTCATTAAACTCTCTGAATAAAGTGAATCATAATATTTCACGTCAGATCTTCCTGGGGCTACACCTTTTGTAGAGTTCATTGCTAGCACAGCTACACTCAGGCACGGAAAGACGCCTGCACAAAGCCATAATCGGATTTTCAAATGTCATTCGCATAACCCCATGCCTTGTCTTCTTCCTACACTGTGGATACTACTGAGTGTTTTACATTTCCTTGGCTGCCTTCCTTTGACCTACAGTATGCACACAGTTTCAAAACGTGTATACAGGATGGAACTCTCATGCGGAGCAGCCCTCCATCGCGCGCTGTCAGCGTTCAGCCAACTGGTACCTGGGCATTTCCCTGGAAACCGGTCGCGGAGCCACAGAATACCCAATGACTACATGCCAACGAAGATAAGCTGAACACGAGAAGCCCGAAGCTTATCTCTCACAGGAGAGGAAAATCATTCCTCTGGCGAAAGGTTGAGATAACGGATGTGCACGGCAAGGCTCACAGCTAGTGGGGGAAGCAACTCCCAGAGTGACAGCACTGGACAGCAGCCGAAGAGGGGCACGAACACCATGATACTGCTACTCGAGGTGGTACGTGGGAGGTAACCTAGACTCCTAAGGCTGCTGGAAACATACAGAAGGCCTATACACAAGTACAGGTATCTCTAAATATAATTCTTTCCTCTGTGTAGCATTTTAGCGTTCACAAAATACCTTGGAAAGGTATAAATTCAAATTCATGCCATTTGAATTTGAAATCCACTTGGTTATGTGGGTATCATCACCCATTTTACAAACGGTAAAAGTGAAGCCCCAAGAGGCTAAGGGACTGCTCTAAGGTCATACAACTGGTCACTGACTGACAGGCCAAAATTTAAACCCTTATCTTCTGATACCAAGTTCGGTGAACTCGAGCCTATTCCACAGCTGCCTCCCTACATTTAAAGTGATAAGTTCTTATTCAATCTAAAAAAAAAAAAAAAATGATTCTGATGTGTCATCTGCAAAGTTCTTTAAGAAATAAAAATTAAAAACTAGGTCTCTGCCAGACACTCACCTCTTGTGCAAACGATTCGGCTTTCTTTCGCAGGTCCTTCTCTAGCTCCAGGTTCACCTGCATTTCCTCATACTCCGCCGCCGCTAGCATGGACACTTCAGAAGGCAGGGAAAGGAAAACAATACGCCACACAGATGATCAGGAAGGTGCATGAAAAATAGTGTTAAAAAGATTCTTTCTCTCACTGGCTTATTTCGCTCAGCATAGTACTCTCCAGGTCCCCCCATGTGGGAGGTGGGAGCCGGGAAGGGGGTGTCAATGGTGGGGAAAGGGGAAGGATAGCTGTGATACTTTCAACAATAAAGATATATTAAAAAAATATTTTTTTTCTCCTTTTTTGATTTTAGAGAGAGAGGGGGAGAGAGAGAGAGAAACATCGATGGGAGAGAACATCGATTGGCTGCCTCCTGCATGCCCCCCATGGGGGATTTGGCCCACAACCTGGGCATGTGCCCTGACCGGGAATCAAACTGGTGACCTCTTGGTGTACGGGTCGATGCTCAGTCACTGAACCACACCGGCGGGACTAAAAAAATTCTTTCTCCAGGCATATAAGCACCCTCAACCATTGCTGGTTGGAATATAAATTGATAAAACCTTTTGGAGGGCAATGTGAATCGGAATCTAAAATTATTCATACTCTTTGACTCAACAAGTCCACTTTTAGGAAAGTATTTATTCTCCTAAGACAATAATTCATGACCACATATGGAGGTTTAGAGGCAGGGTTGCTCTCTGCATCGTTGCTGAAAATAGTAAGATAACCTGGGTGGTCTACCATGGAAGGACCAGTGAAGTCTCACGTATCCAAGGAATAGTATTCTGCCATCAAAATTATATTATAGAAGCACAGCCATTGAATGGAAAGACATTCATGATGTTTTAAATTAGTTCATTTTTGTTTTTAAAAAGCCACACACTAACCACGTCAACAAGGCATTTCACAGACGAGGACACATGTGAAAGGCCCACAAACGTGGGAAAACACTCACCTTCATTAGTAACCAGGGACACAAACATAGTTCACAAAAGATAAAAGAAAAGACAGAAAGCCAAGGGGGGTTATGAGGAGAGAAGGGTGTTCAGGGATTTGTACGGTGCTGATGAGTACAGGGCTGTTCCCTTTGCTGGTATCTTCACTGTCCTCCATATATGCTATGAACATACTTAACAAGCAATTTAATGTATATACAGGCTTTTTAAGATGGGAATATACACACTAAAACGTAATAATGCCTATCTCTGGAGTGGAAAGATTAAGATATTTTTCCCTTTTTCTATATGAATCTATACCTTCCACCAAAAAAAAAAAAAGTTTAACAGCTAAACAAAAAGAAAAACAGCTGTAAGTTATTCTAAAGTGTTCTCCATGTTTACAAAGAAGAGAAACAACCCCGGATCCACTCAGGCCGAGTCAAGAGCTTGGAATTGAAGTCACTGTAGGACAGATATCTTCAGAGAGAAGGTCCTGTCAAAGAAGAGCGATGCGAATTCTCCTTTTTGACATTCTGTGCTGTTTTGTTAAATGATGATATAGACGAGGCAGGGGGAGTGATGAAGCCGTTAGAAATTAGGCACAACGTAGGCAGATATCAGTCTAGTCTCTCCACCTGCTTCTGGTGAGGCACTTGCCATCCTGAGCTGAGTTACATCATTAAAATCTCTTAAAGGGCTCTCCTCGTGGCTGCTTCCCAACAATGCTCCACCGGGCACCTCAGACCTCCCTGCCTGAGGACAGGTTTGCTGGGTAATGACACAGACTTTCCAACACTGCTCTCTGTGAATCTGCAGCCCACGCGGGGGCAAGACTGATAGTCTTACTCGAGTAAAGCAATCAAAGTGGGGGTTTGGGGTGTGAATTCTAGGTCCCTGCGTGCTAAATTATTTTCAAACCTATTTAAAAAAAGAAATTTCATGAAGAAAACAAAACAGACTAGATGACACTCTCTGAAGCCCTGGGCAAGACAACCGGCTCTCTTTTCTCTGTCCAGAGCACTGTCAGAAGAAGTGGATTTTCACATGTCCTGGCCCCTTCGACCTGGATTCTGAAAGAAAGTCGCTTGGTGCTAGTCATGTATGTTCTGTGTGACCTCTCTGCCCCTTCCTAGAGAGGGGGCGTTCTGAAGGCAAGGCCCATGTGCTCAACCTGTGCGGAACCCTGTTTCTTGCACAGAGCCTCGGGGTTGAAAAGTCTTCTACACCATTTCTATCTTCTTAAAGGCAGAACGAGCTGAGGAAATGTCACACACGAGTGCATCTCCCACTTAACTGCAAGGTTCTTTGTTTGTTCAAAAATTGCAAGTCAGGAATGACGAGAAGATGGAGAACTCCCATCAATGACAGGGGAGACCCTGGGTCTGAAAGTTTCCTTCTGAACCCAGAAAGAAGGAAAAAAGAGAACACACCATTGCAAGCCCCCTCTCTTGGAGTTACATTTGCAGAACGGCCACTTCGCCATCGTCCCCTCGTCCTAAACCAGGGGACTCAAGAAACAGCACCACGAGACTTGATGCTGTGTCTTAGGATAGGATGATAAGATCAAACTACAGTTTCTCTTTAGAAGTAGATTTTAGAGAAATCTCCTTCTCACCAGGAGACCAGGTCTGTTTCTCCTGATCAGTAGGTTCATTTTTAAGTGATTCATATAAATAAATGGCCATGAATTTGTGAAATGATTGTGAGAGCATCGCACTGGCCCCTAGAGAGCTCAGAGACAGATTTCAGGCACACAGGCAAGAAATGTGTAAGACCTCAGAGCAAGTATGCACTTTGTACATCAATGTGTACTCACGCCTTCCCTTTGTCCCATTTCCCATATCCTCTTCATTTACAATATTTTCTTATCATGTTGCATGTATTATGTAGATATCCTAACCTCTTCTGGACTGAAGAGAGGTTTATTAAATAAACCAGCCACACGTATAAATACCGAGGAGATAGTCAGTATGGCCATGGTACCAGGATATATGTAGGAAAGATCAATATTTAGGTTTTAAGTTTCAAAAAGGGTGGGCTTCTTAAGTAAAAGCACTTGTAAACGTCCCAAGACTCTAATGTGGGGGATAAAAGAGAAATGAGAGGGATTCGTTGCTCTGTTAGGAGAACACGATACAAGAGAAGATTCCTGCTGCAAGAATGTTTAGGCACAGGTATAAAACAACACAAAATATATGTATACAAAATAATATACTTATAATATGCACTTGAGAAAAAAGACCAGAAATACATACCTCTATTGCATTTTTCTAAGACTTTTCTCTGTTCCAGAACTTCTGAATTTAAAACATCTTTTTCTTGCTTGACTTTATTTACCTAAAAACGTGAGATTTGGAGAAGAGAAAACACCCACAGTTGTAAGACATGACATATGGCGATGTGATACTCAAATTGCTGTTCAACTTTTGTCAAGAAGTTAGCGATGCAAAGTAGCAATTGGCTTCATTACATCGGGCTTTTATCACAGCTCTTCTTAGAGCCTCAGAGGTAGCTGTTTACGTTAGAGTGGACAACTGATGGAGGATGTATTTACATATTCCAAATGGCATTGGCATTGGGCCCTGATCATGGCAGTGTTCTAGCTGGCCAGTGTGAATTATTGATATTTTTAATGCAAAGATCCAACTAGGGAACACTCAGAAAACACATGAATCATGTAGAGATCTAATACTCAATGTTGGTACTTATTTTAAACTTTTATTTATTTAAGTGGCTGCCACCCGCACAACCCAACCAGGGCCAGGGACAAACTGCAACCGAGGTACATGCCCCTAGCGGGAACCGAACCCGGGTCTCTCCGGACCGCAGGCCGACGCTCTAACCGCTGAGCCAAACCGGCCAGGGCCTTATTTTAAACTTTGATACTATTTGGCTTAAGTGAACATACTTGAATTTTTGGAATAGAAAATACTTTCAACTTGGATGACTTTTGGTTTAAATAAAATACATATGATAATATTCCCCCAAACCTTCAATTTCTGAAATAATTTTTGGCATCTATCAATAGGGGAAGAGAATATCATAAACAGTTTTTATTGATTTATTAAAACTTTTTTTTTCTTTTTGATGTTAGAGAGAAGAAGGGAGAAGGAGAAGGAGATAGAAACATGGATGAGAGAGAACATCCATTAGTCGCCTCCTGCATGCCCGCCACTGGAGATCGGGCCCACAACCTGGGCATGTGCCCTGACCAGGAATCGAACCGGCAACCTCTTGGTGCATGGGTCAACGCTCAACCACTGAGCCACACCAGCCGGGCTAGACAGCTTTTTAAAAAGAATGTAAAGCTACATGTATGAAAGCAGATAAATCTTAGATGCATTATGTAGAATTAAAAAAGCAGTACGCATATCTAGTTTAAAAACACACACAATGCTATGCCTTGTGGTACAAATGTAAACACGTGCATTGCAACGATAAAACCTAAGCTCAGAATAGTGGTTGTTTGGGGAAACGCAATAAAGGAGAGAAAGACACCAGGGTTTCAACACTGCCCTAATGTTTTATGTATTAAAATAGATAGTAGGCATGTAGTCTTTCATTATTTTGTTTCTTATATTTTTCAAATGTCTAAAACAGTCCTAATAAAATAACTTCTGAAATGGCTTCCAATCATACCTCGAAGTGGGAGGGAGAGAACCATCAACAAATAATCATAATTGAGGAATGAGTGCACCAACGATGTGTTTCCTGTCTCTGTCCTATGGCTACACCCACGAAACAAACTAAGATAATGGTCCTGGAAGGGGCTCAGAATCCATCAGCATTTCCGACAGTCTCTGAACTGATTCCTTTTAGTATAAACAACACTTTTGGTTTAGGTTTCAATTAGTAACTGGTAGAAAATGTCCAACAGGAATGCCATTTCCAAAATATCATCATCCTTCTTCCCATTCATCAGGACATTTTGCCACAACGCGTAAGAACAACTGGGGCTGGAGGCTGGTGGGCATGTTTCCCAACCTCTTTCATATCATGGCCCTTGAGAAAATGAGAGAGTGTGTGTGTGGGAGGGGAAACTGAGGCAATTGGGTGAAGCTGCTCGCCAGAGGGATCAATACCTTGGCGTACTTGTGAGCCATCTCAAGGTTATCAAGGGGCTACCACACATCGATTGACAAGCTCTGGGCTACAGACTCGGAGAACCATCGAAGTTACATCGAGACTGCAAAGGCACATCCTTGAAGCCTCGTGCAAAGAAAGGCAATTACGTACTCCTGCTCTTAAAGACGATTCCAAAGGAAAAAGAAAAGGATTCTCCAATACCTACTCGAACCCCTTCTACCATTCTCATACGTGCCCGTGTTGGACGTACACGGGGATACTTTCCCAACGGAGCCAGCCTCCACGGCAGAAGCAATAAAGTGTAGGACTCCGGTTCAAGATGCCCTTCTTACAAATCGGCCTCCCACAGTGAATGAGTGGGGGCAACAGAGAACACTTTGAAGCTACTTTCATGTTTGATTTGATGAGCTAGGTGGTGGGTCTATGAATGTTCATGATCTTGTTTTCTATACCTTTCTGTATGTCTGAAAGAGTGGACAGAAGAGAAGATTAAAACTGGTACTTGGTTCACACATCAGACACTGGCTTCCAATGGCAAGTTTTTTAACATGGCCAGTCCCCAAACACCTCGAAAACACAAGGGTCTTGCCTTTCAGGCCTCAAATACATACTTCTTCAATTACTTCTGCAAGTTTGCTCTTGAGACTTTCCAGTTCAATGGCTAACATCTTCTTTTCCTCCTGAACTGATACAATTTGATCTCGAAGTTCTGCATTTTTAAAGATAAAAACAAGGGGAAGAAAAATACAAAAAAACAACAAAACGTATTTTTAAAATAAGAAATCAATCTTGTCAAAATAATTGAAAATGCCAGTCCATGTGCAGCTCATGGTCAAGGTTATTTAAAAATTAAAAGGAAAAGGAAGAAGCAAAGACAATGTAAATCTCACTTTCATGCCCCCCAACATAGCCATGGTTATTAATAATTTTATATCAGGCAAACTCACTATGTTAATGTACCAGATCATGTTTTCTTTGCATTCTATCAAACCCCACAGTCAAGAAAACTATCTGGCATTTCAGAAGCAGAATTGTTTAAGCCTTCTGCAAAATAAATTAAGGCACTGTGGCAATTTCTTTTTTATTTTATAATGGCCATGGACTCGCGTCACAATACACTATAAACAATTGGGCAGTTAATAATTTGGAGATTTTGATTTGAAGAAAAAAATACTGATTTGCTGCCAATTTATGGCCCTTACACATTATTTGAAATGACTCAAAATATAACCTATTTGAGAAAAGGGTTAATTCTAGTAATTTTCTCTCCAGAGTTGTGGGTGTTTTGTTTCTTAATTTATTTCATATTTGTTATTACTGGGAGTTAATGAAAACTGTTACTAGGATGAAAACATTAGCGACTGTAAGTGCAAAAGCTTCTGGTGTGAGATTAAAGTTACTTTTACCACTCAAATGTTAAAAAAAAAAAACAAAACACAGCGACACATGGATTAGCACAGGGTACTCAAATTTATACCCAGGCTTATGGTTTTGCCACTTAGTTTTTAACTGCTCTTAATTTCTTACCCTTCTGGAAGGACAATAAGAAACCCACTATGTGGTTATTTATAAATTAAATCAAACTTTTTACACGAACCCAGCTTGAAGGAGTTCTCAGAGACTTATTTCAAAATCACTTTCTCTACTGGCTGGCCTCTCCTGAAGGGAGAACAAGAGACCATACTGGTCAAGACCTAACAGAAGGGAGAATTATGAACAAAAGAAAATCCATTGAACTCCCTCTCTCTCTCTCCTCACCACCATAAATATGATTTTGTCCCACTTAAGGAGTGGAGATTCAGTTACAGATGACTTTCTCTCTGCAGTCATCCTTTGGTATCCGTGAGAACTGATTCAGGACCTCCTCAGACAGCAAAATCCACGACCACTCAACTCATATATATAGAGAGAGTTATATATATATATATGTAATTGGCATGGTATTTGTACACCACCAAAACACATCCTCCTATATACTTGAAATGATCTCTAGATATAATGCCTAATGCAATGTAAATATTTATACAAGGGGGAAAAAACTCTGTACGTGGTCAGTACAGATGCAACCAACTTAGGTCTAACTGCACAGTTGCTAACTAGTGTAAGCAACAATGTAACATTTCCCCCCAAGAACAGTTTCTGTCTGCCATTGGTTGAATCCACAGATACGGAACCTGCTGATATGGAGGGCTGACTACTTTCTTCTACATGCTTCCAACTGAAGTTTTGTCTACCAAGTTAACAAATATTGCTTCTGACATGTGTACTACGTTAAAACACACCAATAGTTATTGAACCCAAATCTGCTTTCCTCCATCTTTAACTACACAATGTGTATATATATTTATGAATGAAATGAATGTGTATTTAACAGATGTATCATGTGCTCTCGCCTAACAGCACTTCTTGCTAATCAACGCAGTTCTTTAACACTGAGCATGTGTATGCTCGTTGCCTGAGTCAGAAGTTCTTGGAAGGCAGGGGCTACGCGATTTGAGAAGGAATCTTCCCCAAAGACTCCAACATGGAGACACAACCAGACGTTGTTGCCTGAGTGTATTTTTATTCTTCCTTTTTTTCATTTTAATTTTACCGAAAATATCTCAACATATAGTCCATATTCTTAAGACGTTTACAGACTCACTGCCTGTTTGTCAACACAATGCTTTCAGAAGTGCCTGGTCCCCAACAAACAGGCATCGCAGAAAGCACAAACGTGATACCCTCCTTAATTCTCAGCCAGGCTACACTTTAGGACATTTAAATCAGAATTTTTTCAAGGTAAGACCCAGACATCAGTATTTTTTAAAGTCCTCATGGGATTCCAATGTGTAACCAGGGTTGAGAAACATTATCAAAAATAAGCTCAGTAATTAAGCTGAGTCCCACCTTTGATTTGCTTCTGACAGTGTACTGAGACACAGGTCTCAGCAGTGGCCTCTGGCTCCGTAGTTGACTCTTCATCATCAATGTTTATCTCCTCAGTTATTACATCTGGTCCCAGCTTGGCCATGTATAACATGCTGATTCTTTTCAATGTCTTATTTTCTTTATTTAGCTAGGGCAAAATATAAAAACAGTTATTTTAACAGCAGTCAAATGAGTATCTTGGATTTCTAAACAATAGACAAATTAAGTGTATTCTTGTCTTACATATTCATCAGCGTTCACAGCATGAAATAACAATTAGAAGACTCATTAAGTAAGGTTCTATTTACACTTTTCATTATTAGAGTTATCACTTGAAGTAAGACCTGATGCTGGGTTACAGCCAGCAGCGTGTGAGAAAGCCAGTTACAACCGATCAGAAATGTAAGCGGAATTAAGATAAAACACAGGACAGATGAAGCCAAACAGCAGTTGACTGTCTCCATGAAGGCACTCTATTTCAAGCAAATGTTTCCTTTGTGGCTGCGAACACCTTTGAAAGGTCTGCTTGTCCAGCACTCCCTCTGTTCTAGACACCGCCACTGCTCTTCACTGTTCCGGGTGATTCCTATGGGCACAGCCACGTTTCCCAAAACACACCCTCTCCCTCTGGCCACAGCTAACTAGTCAGCTGGATCCCTTCTCTAGAAATCTGGAGGCTGGACTGGAGGCGAGTTTCTTTCTCTACGTCCGGATGTACAGAGCAGTGGGCAATCGCGTTCCGCCAGTGAACTGAGGAGCGGAAGGAGGCAGTCTGCATGGAGCAAAGCCACAAGGGGAGAGGCAGAGGAGAGTATGGGGCTAGGGTTCCCCCAGGGCTCCAGCCCATTCCGGCTCTGCTTCTAGAGTACAGGCTATGGGGTTCTTCCATCCCTCTGTAACGAATTCCTACTTTTTTCTTCTTCTCTTGCTTAAGGGAGTTCAAGAAGTGTTTGCATCTGTACAGACTTATAATGATACACAATAAAAGAAAGTTCAAGATATGTTTCCATTATGTCTATAAAAAGAGTTCCAATTCACAGCAGAGAAAAGGAACCCTATTTCATTAACGTATTTGTTATTCGGTAATGTGGAAATTAGTTGTTCTAGTTTCAGTTACTCAACTATCATTACCTTCTTTAGCTCATGTGTTTACGTGCATATAAATATTAGCACAAAGCACACACAAAGACTAAATGTGGTCTAAAGTCCATAGAAGGAAAACATGGTTTTGTTGATGTTTTCTCTTCTCAAGATTAAAATATAACAAGTCTTCTCTTATTTGAGTACATAAAGGTGTTTACAAGATTGATTTTTCTAGTATAAAATGTAAGGTATAGAAATGCAAATGTATTTCCTTTACTAAGGGTCACTGATCATCAAAACAAGTTCTGAATTTAATAAGTGACAGTGAGAATAAATAACAACAGAAACACAATTCATTGGAAAACTAACTGCCCTTCACTACTGTAAACCTTACACCAGAATAAGATGTTTAGTCTGGTACTTGTCTGCCTTTGGCTCTTCGATTATGATCATAATTCAAACCCCTCAGGGAATCTCTCAGGGACAGCCCCGCCCACTTCAATCTGGAAGATCTAATTCTCACTCAGTAATAGTAAATCTAAATCTATCTCAGGTAGCCTGCCCTAGATAGAGCACAAGAGGTGCTTCTTGTCCGGGGAATCAGGAAGAATCTCCGAGAAATGGCTCTGAACTTCCCAGGATTCTCCCTGGGAAGCCTGGTGGGATCTACTCGGAGAATCAAACACAGCCCTGTATTCCCTTCCCCGGCCCCCAGCTCCAGCCTCTAGCTCAGAGTACATCGGAGGATCAGGAATAAGATACGAGCCCATGATTTCCCAACCCCTCTTCCTTAAAATGGAAAATTCAAGTAAACACTGTTGGTGGGGAGCTTTGAACCATGAATGCTACAGCATACATAGCAATGCATTTTTTTCTGAATGTTAGAAGGAGAAGGAGAAGAAGAAGAAGAAGAAGCAGCAGCAGCAGCAGCAGCAGCAGCAATTTAAGGAAAAAGTTAAAAAACTCAAGACTTAATTTATAATTCTGAATCCAAATATGTAAGCTAATGGTTCCCAGTTCTGCACATCAGAATCTCTACAGAGCTTTTTACAAACCCCAGTGCACAGGCTTCCCCAGACCTAAATCTCCGGCAGCGTGGCCAGCACAGAGTCCCAGGTCATCCCGATGTACAGCTATACGGAGAACCACTGAGGGACAGTAATGCAACACTTTACTACACATTTCTATGAAATCAGTACAGCAGAAGGAAGAACTAGCTCTACAGTCAAATGGTCTCTGCCTCCAGAATAACCTAATATTTCAGTGCAGTCTTCTCACTAGCAAACTAAGGATAAAAATGGTCCTTATCCCATAATATGAAGATTAAATATGAGACATTACATATAAAAATTCAGCAAGTGTTCACTACTAAGAGTAACGAGGTTTAGCTTGGGCAGCTAATGTTCCTTTGGAAATCTTTTATCAGCTAGTTTTCTTCAACTGAGGTATTTGTCTACACATGTTTTTCTTCCTCCAGGGGTGTCGTGAAAATACTAAGTTTTGCCAGTTGGTGCTTCATACATTACTTCCCAAGCCAGCATCACAATAATACTTAATAGTCTGATAGTTAAAAGTTTTGCCCTCAAAAGAGTTTAATGCCTCTATCACACCAGGCGCCAAAATCCACCAGCTACTCTCTGGCTACCATATAACTACTCTATTTAACAAAGTTACTAGCTCAAAAATAAAGCCAGACAAAAAATTTCAAAAGTCTTCTCTAAACTGTTAAAATATTTATTTCAACATCTTGAAAGAAGGAATATAAGATTTACATGCATAAGAGCTTATGACTAGACTAACGGAACACTTTTGAAAATGGAATTCACAGATTTTGGCTAAGCTATTCACATCCTTCATCAAGTTATATGGGTGAACAGCATGCTACCTTTTTTTTGGAGCTGTTCTAAACCACAAAGTAAAAATAAATCTTTTCTAATTCCACAGTAATAGAATCTTCTACGTGCACATTTAAATGGGGTTTTTACACTGCACACAGCTTAATAACATTTAAAGATACAAAATAAGCAAGTTAAACAGATTTGACCCATTTGATTTAAATAACCAGTCTAGATTTTATCAGTTTAACCTGCACATTTTGGCAAAGCAAAGCATCCATACTTGCCTTTTAAAAAAATTATGCAAACTACATCATAAGAATTCAGCATTTCTTCTGTCATTAATTTGAAATCAAAGATTTAGAAAAATAAGAAAACATTTACAGAAATTTTGCTGCTTAGAAAATGGAACCTACTTTCAAAATGACAAGGACCTTAAATCAGGATGTGTGATTATCATTCATTGATCACATATAATGAAACTTCTAAAGTTTGCATTCAAAGCTGTAGGATCTGCCACATCCAATGAGAATATCTAGTGTTTGACTGAATGGGTTTTCTTGTGTGTGTGTTTTATTTATTCCAATTCCCATGAGTTCACAGTGTATCCGTAAAAACAAACCATTTGTCCATTTTCAAAAAGGCTTCTTAAAGAACAGATGATAAACTGTGTAAGTTAAGGATCCTATTACAATGTCACCCCAATAAATTAAATGAAAAAAGAAAAATTGTAAAAATGACCTTCCAGGTTAGTAACACAAACACAGTGGTTCATATCCAAGGACGAATAGAACAGTTACCTGGTGGCTTTTCAACATACACATGCCTGGGCCACATTCCTAGAGTCAGTGGGTCTGGGGTACTCTTAAAACACCAACCCTGGTCTATCCTGACTCTTAGAACAAGACAACTGTAACTTAGGGAGGTGAATTCTCTTGTTCAAAGTCACCTGTCAAATTTTAAAAAGGAGAGGGGGGGTAAGTAATATTTTAAAGTATATATGGATCAATGATTAAAGTGCATAATAAAAAAAGAAGTCCACCCCTTTCTCATTCCAGTACTAACTCTAGTTCATCCTGTCATTTAAGATGAGACAGCAGTATGGGGAACACAAGTAACCTGCTCAAAGTCACATATGGCATAACTAGGAATAAAACCTTTATCTACTGCCCCCAAACCACTGATTCCATAAACTTTGCCAGTCCTGCAAGATAGTCAGTGTTCTCCATTTGGATGTACTACTGCAACAGGAACACTTGTCAATAACAAGAGAAAATACAGAGACTATCCTTAGACACTACAAGATTCAGAGAGTCTAGTATGCTCTGAATCCAGTTTTTTCCCACTTGATCCAAAAGAAGAAATTTAAAAGAGAGAGAGAGAGAGAGAGAAAGAATCTACACGGTGTTGTGGACCAGTGGACTCTAGAGATGTACAGCAGAGTGGAGATGATGTGAGAGCACCCAAGTTATCTCTGTTTTTAAAGCAATAGCCTGTACTGCTGTGTATTCTGTAGACAAATAACAGAAGAGAAGCTACACACACATATTTATATTCTTAGTTAGGTTGTGACTGCATATCTTATGAATTCTAATGTAGTGTCATTATGCAAACAATTAAGCAAATACCTCTAGCAAGCATACTGTTAATGCACACAAATTAGATAGATAGATACATAGATAAGTAGATTTCTAGAATTTCAGTCACATGAAAAGAAATACTTTAGAGGAAGGTGATGGGGGAAAGGAGAAGAAACACAACCGGCATTATTAATGAAATTTGGGTGAAAATTGCTGTAGTCCATTTTCTGATGAAATGGTTCAGATGCATTTTCCGCACCCCCAAAATACATAAGACAGAGATAAAAACATTCTTTAATAATAATGTGCTTCTGATGAGGTAGAATATAGGAAATTACACACTTGGTAAATTCATCAGCTAGAAGCAATCAGCGGAGCACTGGAGGTCCCTTTCCCATACCCTCCCTTTCCTTTCACAAATAATCACCTGAAATGTAAGGCTTGAGGCTTTTTCATCTGATTCAAACATGAAACACTCACCGCTCTTTTATGTCACATCAGGTCAGTTGGAAATTTGGTTAGCATTTTAACCAAATGCATACACATTTGGAAAGTCCGGTTCAACAGATTACTCTGGGACTGTTTTATTTAGAGGCAAAAAAAATCACAAATGCTGGAACACACACACACATACACACTAATCACACACAGTATTGCTCCTTTTACAATAACCTTGGCATGAAGACAGACATTTACATAAACATATTCTAGGACTCTGAGACCTTACAACACTTTCCTCATCAGCAGGGTAGATGACAGACTGAGAAAAATAAAAAAGCAAAAAAGGATAGCATCCACTATGCCGAGGAGCAAGCAGAAAGGTAAAAGGTCAGGTAGAATTTCTTTGAAGAGTCTCACCTTTGTTGCCAAAGCTTCTGCACTTTCTCGACAAGTCTTCTCTATTTCCAGATGGTTCTGCATAAAATTAACTTCCTCTATAACCATGTGAGAAACTAGGAATGAAGGAAAAAACGTCTCAGCATTCAGAGATTAGTCAGCTATTCTAGAAGCCCACACATCTTGTCCCATGATTAAGAATACTTCAATTCTTTAGCTAGCCAGACTTTTCGTGTTCATGAAGAAAACTGTTTAAGATGCTGACCTGATTAAATCTTAGCTAATATTTGAATGTGGAAAGAAAAAAAAAGAACACAACAAAGAAATTTTATTGCTTTTATACACATTTTAAGAAAGCTATTTATGATCATTTTTAAGTGTGTTTTCTATGTAGCTGTATACATAGCCACTAATTTAAACAAAATAACTTTTTAAAAATAAAAAGTGACAAACATGATTTCCTTTTCTTAGGAGGATCGAACAGATGGATTTAATAAGGAAAATTAACCAAAGAGAAATTTAAAAACTAAATCTTGAGTTGATCTCATACCCGTCTAACCATGTGGCCGCTTAACTAAGGTGAGTTCTGCAATATTCTTTATTAGTGACAAAATAGTTACTATGAATTAATACACTTCAGGGCAGAGAAGCATAGCAACAAGATTTTTGTACTATATGATGATGAAAACAGATGCTAATAAGTTGCATCCAAGATTGTCAGGAAGGTTAGGAAAAATAAATTTTACTTGACATTTACCAATGCTCGAAAAATAGTAATTTTCAGGTATTTTTTGGTAGCTGGTTTATAAAAATTGAGATTTAAATGTACAAAGTAATTTAGAACTTGAGTTATACTTTGAAGGTCAAGTAAGAAAAATGCCAGTTCCTTTTACCCACATTTCTAGTTCAAATAAAATACTTCCTTAACTGTAGACATGTCTACATTTGTTTGGCTTAAAAAAAGAAAGATTAAGGATACCCAAATGTGAAACCCAACAAAGTTAGGCAAAAATCACTGGGCTCACGTAACACAAAGAGAGATTACTTTTGCTTCATTTAAGCTTCATTAACCTGCAATTATGATTAAACTCGGGAAAAAATTTCTCTCCAAATTAAATTCAAAAATGTATTACTTCCTCAGTCTGCCCAAAGTTCTTATTATGTTAATATTCAAATTCATAAAGCAGCACTAAATGGCCAGAAACATCTCTAACCTTGACATTTTTTCAGGGGTAATAATAATCTTCGGCAAATGCAGGCCAACCAAAAACCACTTAACTAATTAGTAGTTGCAGTCACCGAGAAAAACATGAATCAACACTGTTATTACAAGTGGCACATTTGAGTGGCATCTAATTATGACTTGATGAGCACGATACTTGCATTATCAACATTACTACTGCATCCCATCAGGGCCTAAAAGCTGCTGATGGCATTGACTTTGAGAAACTCCCACTCAATGGTACAGCAGCACCCAACAATCGGCTTGGCAGGGGCCCCCCTCACTAAATGACACGTTAAGCGTAATTACTGGTAGACATTGTAAATAAACAGGATTGGAAGTGAAAATTGTACCAAGTGCATAAGACACAATCTGACACATTGGAAGTGGCAGCCTTAATTGAGAGTTTCTTTGACTGCTCAAGATCATTTCAACTGCATTTCTCAGACGACAGTGATTATAACTGTGGAGACAGACGGCATAATGGTATCAGCACCGCTGACAGAGCAGTGAATTAAATTGTATCTGCTGTTGTGTGAAAGCCTTGATGAGAGGTACAGATGCCTTAGTGGTCTTATCATTATAACACAATGGTCATGTTGTCATCAACCTTTCTGGCTCCAATTGAAAAGAAATGATTGTGTGTTGAAGCTCTCCCCCTCCCCCTTCCACACACCCCCCTTCCCCTCTTCTATCTCTTGTTCTGAATAGAACCAATTTTCAGAGAGCTATGAAATCACGCAATAGGTCCTAAAATGCAGCTGCTTGGCATACAAACGGGTCCCCATTAAACTGGAATCACACACAATATGTGTTTATGCCAGAAGAACAAATAGAAGCTGAACACAGACCAAGTTTATTCACACACACAAAGCCCATGTAGCTCTTCATCAATATAATTGCCTTTTATATTGTAGTTTAAATAATAGGCTCTATTATTTCCTTAAAATCCTAATATTCCTGGCACTTTATCACTATATTTACAAGGTAGGTTCTTCAAAAATGGGAAGGAAAGAGAAAAGAAACCTATACAATTTTTACAACATCAAATATTACTTTGAATTTTTAGCCTTAACTACTTGACATCTTCTGCCACAATCTGGTATTTCCACTATCATAACAAAAACATAAACACTCTGCATTTTTCATAGGAATTTGACTTTTTATTCAAGAACATTCTTGCTCATGGGAGAGTAAGAAAAATTATTCCACAGTCGTAAGGTTTAGGCCTAGCACAAAGAAAAACAAAAACACACATATTTTCTAAACATTCTGTAAAAAGCTTCCCTGTAATTGAACTTGATAAACGTGGCTAGGTAGCACTGCCCACTTTCTCTGATTCTGCTGTGGTAGGGTTTTTACTTCTTCCCCTAAGAGGGAACAGTACAGATTAAAAACTGTGCTTTCATTTTTAGTTTAAAAACATAGCCCAGTGCTAAACTGTTATTATAGAACCCTACTTAGCAACTTCCTAGATTCCAAAGGGACTATTTCAAAGGGCATTTCTACCTTTAAGAAGTGTGACCCCATTTCCAAAACCAAAAATCATATCACATGACACAAAACAGAATGTATTTTTTTAATATACAAATTTGCACCTTTCCCAGGATAAACTTTTTAAAACCTTTAACTGTTCATTTAATGATTTGCCTTTGGTCCTAAATTCAGGCTTGTCTCCCAATATCCACAACCCACTGCCACTACATCTAAAACATCTCTACTTTGAACGACATGAAGGTTTAAAAAAAAAAAAGGATGAGCTTTAAATAAAATGACCTTATTACTGCAGTGATGTTTTAAATAAGCCTAGTATTTTGGAAATACATGCTGAAATATTTACAGGTAAAATGATACAATGACTGGAATTCATTTCGAAATCATCTGTTGAAGCTGTGTAATGGGTACTTGGCGGTTCATTATATTATTTCTCACTTTTGCATAAGTTTGAAATTTTCTATAATAAAAGTTTTTTAATGACTCTGAGAACTCAGAAGTATGACCTAAAAATACATCAATTATTGCTATCAGTCGAGTTGAATTAGCAAAGTTCGTCTCTCCTCTTCGATGACCCCAAAACAATCCTACACAGAATACAGCACATTGTAGGGTAACTGTTTTTTGTTTTATTTTTTTAAACTTGTCTTTGTTTTCTAACTGGGAGCATTAGAGCAGAGATTTTGTTTTACGTGTGTCTGGATCTCTTGCACTTAGCGCACTGCCGTACACAAAGCTGCTTGTGTGTGCTTGAATGACAGGAAATATATCAGGCCGGTGAACACCCTTTCACAAAAATGTTCTCTGTCATGTAGAGTTGCTTAGGAAACAGCCACCATCACCATTTATTGGGCCAACTCAGTCTTCAGCCTTGCACTAAACCCTTTATATGTGTTCTCTCATAAATCCTCACGACCGTCCTGGGAGGTAGGTATTTTCACAGCAATTTCATGTTTGAGAACACCGAAGCCCAGATTCTTAAGTAAGGCATCCCAAATGACACAGGTCTAATTGGCAAAGCCCTGCCAAACCTATTTCTAGATGACTCCGATATTCCCCGTTCCCTTCTCATTTGTCCTATTTAAAGGTGACACCACCAACAAAACGCCTTTCCAGCCAGCCAGCTCTCGGCAATACTTAGATGCCAGGATGTTTGTGAAGTGTAGGTGGTGAACGTGTGGCAAGTTCTTCTGCGACATCGGATTGCGTAGAAAGGTTTCATTACAGTAAGGAAACAGCCACGGAAACGGACAGGAATGGGAACACCCGTGTGCTCTACACCAGAGCAAAGGGTCTAACGCTGTGGCCTGAAGACATGAAAGCACTTTATTGACTTGTACTTTCACAGGAGTCTGCCTTTCTAGGGAACACGCCTTTGCTATGTAGGGGTGTTTTTGAGCAGAAATACAGGAGAAAGGCACAGGAAGAGCTGGCAGAGGGCCAAGAATGGCATGCAAATACAGGGTGGGCCAAAGCAGGTTTACAGTTGTGAGGACCATTCTTTTGGGTTAATAAAGCTATTGCAATAATCCTAACCTGTATGTCTTTTTCCATACAAATAACTACAAGCTACTTTCGCCTACCTCTGTATGGACAGAACCAGCTGGGAAAAGCATGCTAAGCCAGGGAGAGTAAGCCCCCAGCCTAACAGAGCTTTTCCTGGGCCTCAGCCAGCTACTCCTGCTCTATTCCCAGAGGTGGGCCTGGTAAGTAGACACTACAGGGAGGCCAATGTCAACTCAGCGCTGAAAGACCCTTTCCCCGAGAGCTGTCCACTGTGGACACTGGTGTCCGGAAACGAACAAAAGGCAGATGCTATGAACACAATACTGAAGGGCGGTCAAGCCCTGGACGGCACAGGCAATGAGATGGTGTAGCAGCAGCTAACACTGAGCCCTGGCTACAATGCCCGGCACCGTGTCCAGCTCTTTCCACGTGGATTCTCTCATCCACGCCTTGAACAGCAGAGGAGACAGGGTCACTCAGCCCACTTTTCCTCATGCAGATATTGCTCAGGGCGACATGAATTCACACTGAATGTGCTTTTCACTGGTGATAACTGCCTCACTCCCTTCCAAATCTAAAATTCTATCCTGCATTCAAAAGTCATGAACCACAGACACAATTTAAAAACATATATTTAAAGCTTTCTTAGTCCCCATGAAGAAAGTCCCATTCGAACGATTCCCATTGTGCACGGTATGCCAATCCACTGTCAATAGTTAATGTGGGACATTCATGGGTCGCAATGTCTGGGGGAGAACTCTTTCGGATGGGAGCCGGCGTCGGCACAAGTGTGAGAACATCCCGAGTCCTGCGTTAGGGAAGGAGAAAAATCCTACGCAGCTGTAACTCATACGTTCACAAATGGCAGTTATTTCTGTCTCAGTATATTGGCCTCCAAAGATAGGTAATATCAACAATATTCCCCTTGGGTTTTCTTTGTTACAGCTAGACACTTGAAATAAACAGGCTATTGAAATTTAACTATAATGCTGTACTTTTACCAGCTGTTTTACCTTCAACAAGAAGAAAATGTGTTGTTACATAGTCACCAAGTGAACACTATGATACAATCAAACAGCCTGGCGAATACAGCATTTGCAGAGCAGTGGAGAAGGGCCCTGTTTCCGAGGGGGCGGGTGGTTGTCCCTGCTAAGGCCCAGCCCCTTTCCCATGACATAGTTCCTTGTGATCCTTCTGGGTGTCATGAGATATGTTCTATCTTAGGGGATAAAGTTGAAACAAATTTATATCACATAAAAAATAACATAGCAAACATTTAGAAAAATGATTACAACTTTCGTGGGAATATAACTTTCCTTGGTGAGAAGTTATTTCAAGCATTCAAATTCTTAAAAATGTGCACATTCTGTAAACCTAAAATTCCTTTTTTATGACCTAAGGAACTAATCAGACAAGATACATGTGCAGGAATACCTGCCACAGCACTATTTATAAGAATTAGAAACCAGATATAATCTATCACTGAAGAAACATTTAAATAAATTCTGGTTCTATCATATAACAGAATACTACAGGCAACAATTAAAACTAATATACATCTCTACAGACAGGCAAAGATGCCTGTAATAGATTGCTTACCAAAACAAACAAGCTGCGAAACTAAACACAAAGTATGGTTGTATTTTTTTGTAGATACACATATTACATAGATAAAATACCAGGAAAGAAAGACTACAAAAACTAACATTGGCTCTTCTCAAAAAGTCTAGATAACAAGTAATTTTTGTTCTCCTTTAACTGTCCTGCATAGTAAAATGTTTTATAACAAGTACAAACTGTCTTTTAGAATCACACACTCATAAAACAATAGTGTTCATTCCATTTCTTTAAAAATCACAGTAATGCCAGGGTATCTAGGGGGCAGATGGGAAGACAATCCGTGCTTTCTTGGATACCCAATGCATCAGTACTAAACACAGGGGACATGTCTACCCACATAATCCCAACACACAGCTCTGTGTGTTATAATAATTCCACTGAAGTGCTTACGTACTTTTCTGAAATTCCTCCAGTTTTCTAACAGCTTCATCTCGTTCTTGCCTAATTTTGTCACACTGAAATGAGAATAAAAATCATGAATTTGTATACGTTTGGAAAGACAAGGAAGAGCAAACTTATAAACAATAGCAATTTTATGAAAAGAAAACAAAAGTGAAAAACCTTAAAAAAAAAACCCACAAAAAACAGCATTAATGGTCACCCGGTATTTGTACAGCTCAACCAGCCTGGTATTTATACCACTGTATCTCGAACCTTCAAAGATAATGAGTCACCTTATTGCTCACGATCTCCTTAGTAACAGACCAACTTAACATCCTATGTTAAAATACATTCATTCTGTAAGAGAATATGTGTGCCTCTTTTTAAGTCGGCATTTTGAAAGTGCAGTGAACACCCGACCCGTCCGCAGGTCCAATGCCCTGAAACGGCCGTGAACGCCGGGGTCCAGAACACCAGCGCACCGCTGGAAGTGACCACATGAAGACCAGTGCTGCCACACGCCCCGTGCACTCTCCCACTCAAGAGAAAACCATCCTTGCATCCTGAGAATTCTAAATAGAAGGCAGCAACGGAAAAGGAAAGAAGACGACATATTCCACGACAACCATAAACATTTACGTAAACTGATTTTTCATTTTAAAAGGTGGAAGGACTCACCGAAAAGACTTTAGGAAGTAAGACCATAAAAGGCAAAACAAAAACATTATTGAAAGATGAGGACCTTTTAGGCTATCTGGTACAGAAACAAGCATTTGGTACTTTAATGGGCCCTGAAGGTATTAATGAATTTTTCAAAACCCTCATGTTCATTATGAAGACTGAACTCACTTTACCCTGAACAGGAAAGCGTAACGCTTCTGGAAAGATTTTCATCCAAAATGTCTGAAACTTTAAAAAGTGGTTTTAGCTATTGGAGTAATAGTCAAACATTTAATTTTGTGGAACACTGTAATAAGAGGACAACTAGAACAAAACACAGCTTTAAATTACAGTTTAATCCTACTCTGCCAGATAAATATATTAAGATTTCATGCCCTTGGATATTTTCAAATTTCGACGGCTAAAAAATAATGATGCCACGGATCATTTGAAAAACCCAAATTAAAATAGTGAGATATTCTCCTCTAATAGACTGGAGAAAACGGAAAAAGTCTAACATCAGGAGTTGGAAACACATACAGCCGGTGGAAGTGTCAACAGGCATAACTACTTTGGAAATGAACCATCTCAACTGAAAGTGCTCACACCCTGCGTGTGATCCGGCAGCTCTAGTGCAGGAGTCTAGGAGTCTAGTACCAGAATCTCTAGGGATGTGTACAAGGGGATCTATGCACACATGTTCAGCATTTATAACAACAACAAATCGTGGCACATTCATATAACACACTGCGAAATATACAGTGAAATACACTATGAAAATGAATGACCCAGAGCCCTGTGTATCAGCGCAGATAAACCTCAAAAACCATAATGCTGAGTGAAAGAAATTATAGAATATACACCCAATGACACCTTAACAATTAATATATGTATATTGTATATGTTCATTTCATGATACATGTGGCATATGTAAAAATATAAAAACACAAAATAGAAGAATGGACATACAACATTTACGACAACAGACAGGGAGGGGAAGGGGACTGTGGTGGGTGACGGGCGATATGCAACAATTTTATCTGTAGCATTTTTTATTTTTAAATTTCAAAAAATAACAGTTAATTCTGTATGTTGCATAGTCTTTCTATTATTCTCTGCCCTTTTATGTGCTTTTAAAATATTACAAAATAAAAAGTTAAGAAGCAAACGTCACTTTTCCTCTTTAGGCTTCTCCAGAACGCAAACGTTAAAACACATTTGGGTGAATCCATTCTGACTAGAGTTCGTGGAACAAGCACACAGTGCTAAATCAGCAAGGCTGTGTACTACACCCCGACTTAGACCCACCACAAGAGGGGTCAGTCTGGACCATATCGCAAGGGAGAAGGCATACAGCAGTCCCCCTTATCCGTGGGGATACATACCAAGACCCCCAGCGGGTGCCTCAAACCTCGGACAGTAGCGAACCCTACGTATGTTTTTTCCTAGACATACATACCTATGATAACATTTAATAAATTAGGCACAGTAAGAGATTAATGACAACTAATAATAAAATAGGACAAGCATAACCATATGCTGTAGTAAAAGTTATATTACTGTGGTGTGTTTTTCCCCACCCTTCTCCTCTCTCCATCTCTCGAAATCTCTAATAACCAATCTGATGAACGAGAGGGCCACAGAAGAACTCAACGTGGGGTAGCTTACGGACATGCTAGACAAAGGGATGACTCACATCCCAGGCGGGATGGAGCGGGACATCAGAAGGTTTTATTGTGCTACTCAGAACAGCACACAATTGAAAACTTAGGAGCTGTTTATTTCTGAAATTTTCCATTTAATATTTTCAGACCTTGGTTGACCTTGGATAACTGAAACCACAGAGAAGGGGGGACTACTGTATTCCTTCATTAAGGTTTTCTTGTGAAAAATCTATCCTCTGTAAAAAAAATGTCTAATATATAGTTTCTAGTTCCAACTTAACAAATTAACTGCATTTATTGTTTTTTTGGTGTTTAAAATTCTGAACATTAGAGTTCTGGATTCTCCAATGAGCTTTACTAGATCCTTTAATATGCAGTGCACGGATTAATTTCACGATACTAGTAGTCAGTTATTTCAGTAACATTCCTCTTGTTTTCTAGAATGTGTCCTGTTTGTTCTGCATTTGCCCACCACCCTGCCAGTCTGCCCACCCCACCTCCAACCATGCCCAGTGTAGCCCAGAGCACAACGACAAATACAACTTCTGACTCAACTTCTGAGTTATGATTACCAAATGAAATACATCTGGTGTTTCCTTTCAAATCACTTTTATGTTTCTAGTTTGGGGCATTTCCGAAGGCATCAGATGCCCTGTGAGACACTGCCTTGATCTGAGTGCTGGTGCTCAGGGCTGCTGCTCCTGACCACCTGCCCCTTGGATTCTTCTACGTACTTCTCACAACTTCACCTGGAAGAATGAGAGATTAATTTCCTTCTCGCTTACATCAGATAGCTCGAGTTTTCACGGACACTGTGGATGACAAAGAAATGGAATGAGCATTCCTGAACACGATGGTCCTCTTATCTACTCAGATCTGAAAATGGCCACCAACAGACATCGCACCCAAACTACCCACGCAGCTACCATTTACTGGCCATTAATGACACGTGACAATGTCTGGTAGGCTTATACCAATGCCCCCAATGTAAGATTTTCTGCCCATGCCCTCTGCTCATATGGCGCAGGGAGATGGGCTTTGGTTAATAACAGGTCTCAACATCACAGGCTTATTCTAACATGCAAGTAGCCAGTTTCTATAGTCCAGCTATGTGCCTTTGCACTAACCCCCGAGTCCTCCCTGGCAGATTCAGAAGCTGTCTCCCAACCCCAGCTGTGTTCTCTCAGGGGTCTTCATGTTGCCTGGCTTTCTATTTTCTGCAACCACATTATGATGGAACTGGCAGCCACAGAATTCACCATCTGCTATGATTACGGAAAGGGGTGTGTCCCGGGGGAGGGACCTACACATGCTGCAAAAGCTGCTTGTTCTCACCCCGGGCTGAACAACATGTGAGCCACAGACCCATTCACTAAGCAGAAATCCAAACATCCACATACTCCACCGTCTTAGGTGAACCCCGAAAATATCTTGTCGCTTTTCTCTCATTCTACCTAGAGAGAGACGTGCGCAAGGTTCTGGGCCTTTTGGGAAGAACGCTTCATCTTTATGTCCCACAGAAGCCCCGCACCCGTCCCGCCCCTTCCCCGACCCTGCTCCTGCAGCTGCACTATTTGTAGAAATGGCTTTTTTGTCTGAGAATTGCTCATGAAGACTTTGCAATAGCAACAGATGTTCGAGGGCCCACATCGCTTATTTATGATGCCCCGTGATTCTCTGCAGCTCAAAGCTGGGGTAGAACCCCGCCGCACAGGCGCTGGTGGGTGTGAGCAAGCTGGGTAACGTTATGTCTATTTGAGAGTCTCTATTTCGGCTCGTTATGAAGTGGTGAACTGACCAGGGGTTGGCCCTGCTGGTGGTGAAAGCTCCGAATACTAGAAGCCCTGGCTACTCTGCAGATCTCTTCTTTGAGCTTCCTCCGGGCAGCGACCTGGCTTCTGACACTGAACCAGCATTTCACAGCATCGGCAGGCTGATTTCCAGAGGGAAGGCTTCCCACTAGGAACTGGCACCACCCCTCCCCCACCACCTGAACAGCTCTGATCTCTCTCCCACACAGAGCATCCAACTCCCCGTTCATACCACAATGTCTGCTTGATGGGGCTCAGCGGAAGTACAGGCAGCTGATGCAGACACTAAGGCGTCTTTACATGTTGCCGGGTGTATGTTTTGTGCAAGCAAAAAGCCCCAATGTTCTGAATTGTGTCTAACTTCTACTAATCAACATTCACTTTTATCTCCGTGGCGCACAAAGGCAGTGGAGGGTTGCCAGCCTACAGAAAGGCCATGCTGGGGCCCAAGAAGTGTGCACACATACTGCGTACACACCATGCTGCCAACAGAGCAGGCAGGCTGTACATAGGTAAGTACCTTACCGTGGGCTGAATGAGACTTCCAAGCAGTTGTCAACTATAACCACTGAACACCTCTATTTCCTTCCTCGCGGACTGAACAAATCATTTATACAGGGAACTACTGTGGGGAACAAAATAGACAACGTGCTCTCACAAAACAGATGCTCTACCAAGAAAGACCAACAATGAAACAAACAGTTTATAAGACTCTATGAGAGAAATACCGCACTGCAGGAACATACAGCAGAGGCCGTAACACTGAGTTCAAAGAGGTCTCGACCCCACACCAGTCTTACTCATTTTTCTTGAAGTTCATTCTTCTTATATCCAGTTAGAATACTTAAAAATGTAAACGTGCAAAAGCATCGGAACTGTGCATATTTACTGTGCTAGAATCTTTGACAATGTCATTTAGAGGACCGTCAAATCATTTTT